GACTTAAGGCTCGTTGAAATTGTCAACGAGAAATATATAAGGTCTTGCGAGCCATTCGCAGGATGTTTGTGCGGAAACTGTGGGTGTATATATATATATATATATACACATGTAACGAATTCTACTTGTAAATTTTTACAAGTGAGTGTTTTTTGAATTAAAATCTCAATTCTTAAATTCATACGGGATGCTGGATTAGCATCTCACATACGAAAGACCCCGGATATCCCCCTAACTAATTTTTAAAATATTGCGAAAAAAACTCCTCGGCCAGGAGTCGAATCTCCGGCTTTCCGTGCCATCGCCTTCCCTGTTAGGCCACCGAGGCACTTGGAATTAGTCTCGCAATACTTATACATCGAAGATGGTCTGATAATGTTGTTAACGCTAATTTAAGAATTGAGATTTCAATTAAAAAAACACTCACTTGTAAAAATTTACAAGTAGAATTCGTTACATGTGTGTATATATATATATATATATACACGCACAGTTTCCGCACAAACATCCTGCAAATGGCTTGTAAGGCCTTATATGTTTCTTGTTGCTTTTCTTTTGTCACACACTTCATCACCCGATAAAGAATCTCTTGGCGAATTTACGTTGACGACGCGTGTCGTAATAACGCGTCCCTTATAGTCGGACGTTACCTATCTCGAGAAAAAGTGCAAAGCGAGATCTCTCTGTTTCTCTCTCAAGGAGATGGTTTCTTTTGCCATTAATATCTTTAAAGTACAATGTTTTTGTAAAAAGAGGAAGTAAGCGTCTATTTTTTCTGCCGGAACTTTCATACGCTACTTGCCGTTTTAATATCAGAAAAGACACACAAGAGAAAATGCATTATAATTTCTTTGGATATCTTGGACAAATGAAAAGAGAAATCATTTTTTTTTTTTTTTTTTTTTTTTTTAAACGTTTAATTAGCCGTTTTACACACACATACACGCGCGGAACCAGAGCTTGCAGGACGACATGTTATTTCAGAAAGACTTTTAAGACTGGACGTTCGCGCTGATAGTTCGTTGAAACAACGGATGTAATATAACAAAGAGAGCGTGGCTTCCGCGTTTTGTTTCCGCAAAGATAGCAAGACAGCTCGTGAAACAGACTGACATTGTGACAAAGTATTGCGCGCTGGAGTATCGCATCCTTTTTTGCGGAGACCGGTTCTATAAGAGAAATTCATCCGAGTCAGCATCAAAGCAGCCTCCTGAGGGTTGCCGAAAGAAAAGACACGATATAACGCGCAGCTATGCCGTAACTGACGCAATGATTCTCCCTAAGGACGACCTAAGAGTAGATATCAACACAGGAAGCTCACTTATCTTCCTCTACTTCGGTCCTCTCATCCTTTCGTTTCTCTCAAGAGCGTTCGGTCGAAGTTGAATTCTTACTTAAGGAAATCCAGCCAACGGGTCAAAGAAGAACAGATAATTTCATCAATGGATTGTTCTTGATTGAATATATATATATATGTACGAAGAATATTATTTCACTAAAAACAAAACCATACTAAAACTTTCTTTTTCGCGTAAAGTTTAATATATTTGTGTCTTTAATATATTTAAGAACCGCAAAGAGATTTGTTTGTCGATTGACCATCACGCATATTTGGTTTTGTTTTTTTTATAATCTTCTTTCTTTCAGTCATTAAGACACTAGTATTGCAATCACTGTTATTTCAAGGAGATATCGAAGGTCTTCATCGATAGTGAATTACAAACCCAAGAAGAACGGATTAAAATCAATGAAAGAGAAAACTTGTCGATGTACCGCACACAATAATATCGATGGCGCACTGTGCTACTTTTATTACTTGAAGATATTTCCTGAGACGATAAAAACATTTCTGAAACCTGAAACACGTGAAACGTCCAAGGAACGAAATACAAGTATTGTTTCCGTAACGTGTGACAGTCGTAATAAAGCAATTTAATTGAATTTTCTCGCAAATGTTTTTATATACATTGATTCGTTTGATTTCAACATATTGTTCTACTAATTACCGAGTGAATCACTGATATATAAAATAAAGCTAACGCAAAGCATTGTACATTTGAACATTTGATAATATTTACAATGGCTCTTTGTATTTTATACATTTATTAAAGTATAAAATATCCCGAGTAGAAATTAAAAACAGAACATATATATATATATATATAGTCAGCAAATGGCTTGTTTTCTTTATTTTTTTTTTACAAAAACTACGTGTCAAATGTCAGCATGTCGAGGTGCGATATTTCGCTTTGAAAAATCGTGCGTGATTAAACATGCAGTTCTGGCAGTTTCTTGCGCCATCGCGGGAAAAATTGTGTCATTCATTTGGCGAGATCGTGGAGAAAATCGACATATCCTCGGCATTTTGCACTTCCTTGATGAAAAGCAAATATTGGAGCAGCGCGTAATACGTCGACGATATTGATTACCGAACGTATCGAATTGCCGAACGCATTTTTCATCAATTCACGTTCTATCGTTGTAAATCAAGCGAACTCGCATCTCAATCTCGCGTATCTGATATAAAATAATTATCGTGTTGAAGCGGCTATTGTCTATAGCAACAAAAATATAGACAATTAACCTATTATAAAATTCATTGTGCAATTATACATTTTAAGCTTTTTTTTCGGTTACTTATTTATTTATTTATATTTTATACGGCAATTGTATAAACTTTGCTTCAAATTTCTAGCTTTTATCTCACATTAAAGTATCACGGGATTTGTAATATTGATTCGCACAAATCTCCTTCTTCGTATTATGGAAGATTAAAAATTCCTTCAGAGAGAGAGAGCTGTTTCTCAATCTTACACGCAACCTCTCGCAGCAGACTAGACTACACCGTCGCGAGAGCTACTTCTCGGAAACTATCCGTGAAGCATCAACGACGTCGGTCGACTAAAGTACCACAACGAGTGGTCTTTTCTTGCGGAAAGAGAACGAAGACGAAGTGAACGAACGTAAGATGTTAGGCTGTTTGATTCTTTCTCTTACTCTTTCTCTCTGTCTCTCTCTCTCTCTCTCTCTTTCTCTCAAGAAGATATTATGACGAGAGAAAAAGAATCTTAGGACACGGAGGATCGTTTCTTTCGAAGCGATTTCTTATCGTTGACAATGTTTGTACTGCGCGTATCTTATACTGTGTACAAAGATATTTGCAATCAATTATACCTGCGATCGAAGTTATTCTTCTTGTTGACACGTTCGAAGAATTTCACATATGAAGAGAGATTATCGTCACATAAGCCTGCGAAATCGATTGCCGCGTACCAAATTATTGAACGCGCGCGTATACAATGCATTAACCCTTGATGCCGGATAAATGTCCACCTCAGGTTATCACATAATGCGATATGACTATTGCAATACGTGTTCAAACATACGCGTAGCTTAGAATCGATGCGCGATAACTAATTTAGAATGACAGTCATTACAATCGCATAATAATGACAGCACTAACAGCAAATGAAATATTCGTGATTATCATATTAATTGCCGATTGTGTGTAAATAAATAATAAAGATACTTAAATTTTTTTCTTCAGAGAGCGAATATTGTCTTCATTGTTTGTTTGTTTTTTCTTTCGATAAAATTGTCGTTGTAGATTAATGACATCGATTATTATAGCAAGATTTACGTGTTGCTTACACGTTTTTATTATTAAACGCAGGTATATATTTTTAAACACGCTGCGCAACCGTGAGTGACCGACTAACTGATGTCCGTGTTCAGTGTTGAAAAAGTTATAAGGAGAATTTCTCAGGCTTTAACCAGCCACTAAGACCCTTGGGGTAGTTTCGAGTAAGAGCCAGAGCTGCCACCTCGATGAAAACACGGTAAACCCTTAGGAAGCTAAAAGGTGACAAAATGCGGGTAACCGACGTCGAGACACCGAAATGATGTTGCAGTATATTTCGCGCGCAGCGTTTCACGGCTATCTCCCAGATGTAATATCGTAAAGCTACCCTAAAGACAGAGATATTGCACGAAATACTTGATGTTGTTGAACGCTTATTACCTACCAGAGCAAACTACGAAAAAATTGTCGCAAAGTGACGTTGTAATTTCGAAAGATTTGTTTCTAAATAACACACAACAGAATTAATTTAATTTGATTGAAACATTAGTCTTATGTTACAATCGTGAGATCTAATTTTCCGGACTATATGTTGTTGCATCTTGTTCGCGCGCGCGCTAAGAAAATTATTGACGCGAAGATATAACACTATAATTTGACATTCATTCGAGAAATCGATTTCCTCCAATATACCGATTTGCTTTAACACCGAGAAATAAGATATTGCTATCCGATCCCCATAGGGAATCTCCATAGTTGTTTGTACGAGAAACTACGAGAATTCCCTCTGATGTCAACACTCTCTTCCGTTCTACGTTTCATATCGTTCGATAAAGTACGCAAGTCGCTGAAAGAGACGAAATCGTCACCACCAGCGACGCAGAGGCGAAGGGGAAGGAGCGTTATAAAATTCACAGAACGATACGACTGCGAGAGCAACGCGCGCATAAAGGGCACTTTCGCTAAATTATGCATAGAGCATGAAAAATTCTCACGGCGAGTCGGGGGTGCCCGACTTCCACGGGCTGCATAAGGAGATTCGCATTATCGTGCATGTTGAATGACGGGAAGCAAGAGGGAACCCGAAGAACGGCCGAGAGGCCGAAGAGCAGCCGACGGCGATATGAAATTTTTATCAGTGATACACGGCGGAAGGGCATGCCCAGAATCGGAATCGCTCTCAGAAACAACGCAAGAAAACGAGCAAACGCTATCGTACGCGAGCAAGTGAAGTTCACGTTCGAACAATTATTTTGTCGGTGTCTATTTTCCGCGCTTTTTAATTCTAGCTAATGTGTCTTTATATATTTGACTTTCGTTTTCTCCTGTTTTATTTATCTAACAAATATCATCAAATATTTTTTCTATTTTTACACAAAACAATTATTTTAAACAAACAAACTGTTATTTTCTGTTTCAGACCGCTATTGAAGCAAATTAAGAACTCTGCGGAGTCGCACATTGTGTTGGACTGTTCTACCGAAAGGATCTACGACGTGCTGAAACAGGCGCAGCAGATCGGAATGATGAGTGACTATCACAGTTATCTTATCACCTCCTTGGTAAGTACTTTACGTTACAAACGCGATTAACAATCCGTCTCCGCAGTTCGTCACACAGACTGCGGAGATCATCCGGAATAGAAGTAAGGCCCGCGGATTTCCATAAGGTGTACCAATCGTATAAAACTAATTTTCGACGCGAACTTCATCGTCCGTGCCATCTGCGGCCAAGCCGTTCTTGACATCCCTGTTGAAAACGCACTGGGCCGAACGACTTGACGTTCGCGCGAACGCTGCCGGAGAGGTCGATAACTGCTCCCAGAATATTCGAACCCCTCGTAAATTACCGCTAAGAAGACGAGGAATCGATTATCGTGCGAACGGTGGTCTGGTCGGAGATTGCCATTCGCTCTCGATGACCTGCCGTGATTGGAGATGCAACGAAACGCAGAATAAGCTCGATGTAGCGTTAAATCGCTTTTGCGGTGTTATTTTGTAGCGAATTTCCTCGCGATCGCACAATCTCGGATGTAATAATCTCCACTGATCTCTCCTGTGTTTCATTACGAAACAAAATTCGATTGTGACAAAAGTGCCGCGTCTTACGTAATATTGCAACGCGAACGGAACGGTCGTTTCTAATTGCAATTGCGAGAATTAAAACTTGTCCGTTCCAAATCCGGCGAGCTTGTCGCGCGGGCGTAATGAAAATGTTACGCAAGCGCAAAACGCGCAACGTGACCCTTGAAGCGCCCACTCGAACGGTTAAAAAGCGGAAGTGTTCTGCTTGCTGCAGTTAAGATTGGAAGCTGTCTCAGGATAATTAGTAATTTACAGTTGCCCCAGCGACGCGAGCGGAAACTGAGTAGAAGGCGTCATGCTGGGACGAGCGAGACGGTTACGAGAGAAGACTCGTCGTCGCGTCAACGCGACATCCGCGACGGCAATAAGTGATAAAAAATAAATAGGTCTTTAAAAGGACACGCTATATGACCGCGAGCGGCGCAATTTATCTCAGTGCGCTCTCTCTCTCTCTCTCTCTTTTTCCCTTTCTCTCTCCCTTCCTTTTTCCTCTCCCCACCAGATTTCAATTTAGATCCATTAAAATGTAAATCAGCGAGGGTATTTGTTCAGGCACAAGAGAATCGAGCTACGCTTTTTCTTCCAGCTTCTTTCCGTTGACTCTACTGGCGATTTGTTTTATGAGGAAAACTCAGCGCCGCTTCATACTGATGACGAATTGCGTTTATTAGGAGCATTAATTTTTTAACGCATAAGAGGACGCTTTAAGAGAGCAATCGCGCAAAACGATAAAAAATCCACTTAGAGCAATTATATTTATCTGATGTTGATACTTCCATGATGTTGATAATTACTGTTTTTTTTTTGTCGCAAATTCAAGAAGATCGGTGTACCGTCAACCAATATAAATTTTATTAATTAACAAAGTCAACATCAGACGTTTGCTTTAAATTAAATATTAATAAGAAAGAACAGACACAGAGCGTTTTCTTTTTTTTTTTTTAATAGAGATTTCACTGTGTAAACGGCGTAATTCAACGCAATAAAGGTAAAGCGAGTGACAGTTTATATTCCAGGCATGATGATCTCACAAGATCTGTCGGGAACATGGAAAGAAACTCGATTAAAGATAAAAAAAAAAAAAAAAAGACACAAGACTACTTAATAATTGGCTAATGTCACGCCGATCTTCATCGCAAGAAGAGAATTTAACGGTGTCTCGCACGATTCCCAAGACGATATGTCCCGAGTCGGAGACTATTTATTTTCACTTACGTCGGCCAGTCGTCAAGACTCTCGGAGGGAAAAATTGGCCATCATCCATCAACCTGACCTTTCCGCATCGCGATCAGAAAGTCTGCATGGCTGTGTTACACGTGGGCGAATATAGGTGCACAGCTGTATCAGCCGCGCGTCGTTTCAGAAAGGAAGAAAGAGAGAGATAGAGCATTAATGAATCTTGCTCGGTCACTCCGCTTGGCTTTCGACGGATTACCTTTCATCGAATTAAGTCCGCTCCATGAAACACGGTGATTTCGCAATAAAATTATGGGGCGTTCGCTCTTTTCGTGACGACGTGAAACGGAGATATTGCGCGAATTTCGCAAAATTCTTGGCTTCTTCGAACGCCAAACGGCGTCGATGTACCATCATCGTAGTCCCTATGCGATCATTATGGTTATTATGCCTGTTACGATTACGATGATTGTTATAGTCGTTATAACCTCGGCCGCTATTAAGGCGCTTATTACGAGCATCCATCGCGACGACGATACGCCGCTTGATTTTCGCGTTACACTTTGGAGTTTCTGAACTCGAGAGGAAATAGCCCGTTCCACAATGAAATAGAACACCCTTCCTTCCTAGCAAAATTTCGTTCACTAAAACGGTCTTTCATCATCTTTTCTCAGACAACGGAAAACTTGAGAATTTCATAACATTTACAAAAAATATTACTCTTTTTAAAAAAAAAAAAAAAATTTACGCCATTACTGTTAATAATGCCGTGATATCACAACAATTAATTGTATCAAATTAAATGATGAAACTTTTTTCTCCAAATAATATTTTGGTTTAGACAAATCGACTTAAAAAATGCGGAGCGGAGCAACATCACATTACATCGTGCAGATTTTTTTACATGCCTTCAAATCTTCGTGCCTCGACTGTTTTTTTCCCGTTTCAATCAAGTTACAAGCGAACGGATTTTAATGACAGACTCCGCAGCATCCACGCGAGCATGGCGCGCGGATGCAGTGTGTGTGAAAAGCGATATTCTTGTCAGATCCATCATATCTCCGAGCGTGATACTGAGAAAAACAAAAACCTGAAGAAAAAAGTCGCGTTCCCTTTTATTACTCATCCCCTCTCTTTGTTAGTTTTAAACAAACAAAAATCTGATGAACGCATACATGTTACACGAATCCTTTGCTTTCGCGTTTCGAGACGAACGCGGTGAGATGGTGTGGCACGATCTATTTTTCAGCGCGCGTTGTGAGCAAACGGTGTTTCTCAAAAATTCACGTTATCCGGCTGCGCGCGGATCGAGATTTTGCAATCGATAACTATTTGCGAGTGTGATATATATACGCGACGTGAGAAATACGGGCGGATACGCGTCGCGATTTTGAAACACACAGTGTTAATAAAATGTCGCGCACGTGAGAGAGAAGCAGGCGGCAGCGAATCGTCACGCTAGAAGAAGTTACAGTGGCACGTACGAGTGAGTGCAATAACGGTGCTTGGCGTTGTGTACTCACGACGCTTCCGAGTTTTCCTCCCCGTTACACTCGCTTTACCATCCATTCCCGACGACAATAGCCAGTACATGCAAAATGATATCGTATTGTGTATCAAATGCGCATTGAATAACGTAATTGAAACTATAGTGAGCGCATGAAGCGACGTAACGTTTCAATGGTACAATAAACATACATGCATTTTAAATTTATTCAACAATGTTGCAAAAGAGAAAAAGAGAGAGAGAGAGAGATAATGTGTTATATCCACGTTTCACATTATTACAGAAGTTCAAGATTAATTTATGTGTTAATCTCAAAATTCATCAGTTATTCAACTGAGCTTCCCTCTCAAGCTCTTATATTCACGCGTTGTCTCTTCAGAAATGGATAATCGCTTTTTACAACAATCGTCTGAGGAGTAATAAAAGAATAGAATGAGATTTTAAGAAGAAAACCTATAGTCGCGCGCATTTTCATCAGCCGCTATTATTAGGTGTTACTCTACGTGTCGCGAACGATATCGTTCGTCACGTTGCGAAACCTGTCTTGAAGAAACATGGACCGGACGTGTAGCTCGAGGCGTGACGATGATCGATCATCGTGCGGCGGTCAATCGATTCGCGCGACATCGGGAACGTGGGTACATCGCCAAGTGTACCGATCTACTCGCGAAGACAGCGGATCGAGAACACCGGACTTATCTATCATGTCCCGGATGCAGGACAAAAGGATAATAAATGGTCGCGCGGCGATTCCTCACAAGTATTCGAAAAGACGGATTGTATGGATGTGCGCCTTCAACCTGTATACGATTTTAAATCACGTCGTACCTACGGATAAACGTCGTCACCGATATGGATATTGGTTCGAGACTGTTCCCTGTTTGAGTTATCTTTATTTCTGCCGATACCTATTGAATGAAAAATTCCAGAGCATTCTTCTTGTTCAGCTGTCGATCGTGGCGACACAGCAGAAGCGGCAAACTGATATATTTCGCAATATATCAGAATAATAATGCGAAAACGGTCAATTTTAACGCATATAAATAAACATATAATTTTTCAAAAAACACAAAACGTTATCTGATAGAAGTTTCTTTAACAATCTTTCTATATTACTGCACAATAAAAAATCAACGGTATTGAATATGGAAAATTTGTTCGAGTATATATGTAATACCGATAAAATAAGTGACAATATCGCAAAGTGTGATATGAAATTCTACGATCTGACATGTGTGTGACCGATAATAGGAATTTCATGCGAGACGATCGATCGAAATTTCTTTCAGGACTTGCATACCGTCGACTTGGAAGAATTTAGACACGGAGGGACCAATATCACGGCCTTCCGATTAGTGGATCCGGAAAAGCCGGAAATCCAGAAGGTAATCCAGGACTGGATCTACGGTGAGAAGCGTTACAATCGCGAGCTCGACATGGGACAAAACAGCAACAAGGTAAGACACACATCCTCGCGCAGCGGAGAAGTTGAACGCAAGCGATATAACGGGAAATAGATCGCCTTGGCCGCTGTTGTATTACGCGGCGCCATGCCGTAGTAGTCGTTTATTGCGCGGATGCCGATACTCCGTTTCTCTCAAAGTTTTCCCCGAGCATAAAATATAAATATAAATAATACGCGGCGCAAGATATACGACGTCGCAAAGTATAAGCGCAGATGTCGCTTATGTATGCAAATGCAAAGATCGTTCCACGGCGAAATATCGTTCTCGTCCTTATAAAGCGGCCGCGCGTCTCACGTAATAACACTCTAATTTCGCATTCTTCGCGCAAGTTCGCTTGACAGCAGCATCGATCTACTTCTCGGGTCTTTTTTGCTCGCGCGAGACTTAGCGCGCGCGCGCGCCTCTTTGACGTGGTCGGGAATAAAGGAGCGAACGTAATAATTGGCTATTATCCTATTCGGAACTTGACTGCTGCCGCGGGAAAATTCAATTCCCCGTAGCACATGTCGATTCTTATAAGAATGCAAATACCGCAAAAGGGACGCGCGAGCCGTGCGCGACTGTCGGGTTTTCTGCGCGTCGCGCCGCGTTCTTCATCGCGACATCTCGTGTCGACCACTTGTGCGTGGTGTACGTAATGCGAAAAGAAAAATCGAACCTTCCAGTACTTGAAATACAATTTATAAGAAAGTGAGAAATATACTCGCGGAAAATTACATACGTAGTTTACGCTTCTCTTGAACGTTATATCATATATTCACATGGCGGCGCCGCAGCGCTGCCCCATATAACGAAATGACGGACAAATTAATCGATATTTACGTGCATACACATGTACGTACACGAAAGTACACGCGAGTTTCGCAGATACTTCCATTAGGTGTCGACATTTTATTGGACTATCGATTAAGTCGATATAACCGTGTATATAACTTTCCCAACCATGTATCGTGTGCCGTTACACCGTACAATTTAGTTCTCGTTGCGGCACACGAACACACTACGTACGTAAGATGTACTTAATATAATTCCAGATTTTTATAAAGATATATATAAACTATTTAAAAATGCTTTTTTTTTCGGTGATTAATGGCTTGAGTAACAAAATCGTGTTTATGAGAGTAAATTTTAAATGTGAACTTCTGAATCCCTTACACATCGAACTGGTAGTGTGTGCTACGTGTCGTAAAAAAAAGCAAATATCGAAACGCCAATTCGTGAAAAGCGAATTACTCCGTCGCATCTGGCACGGCATCAACTGCAGAAAAGTTGAGAAGCGCGAATCCGTACGTTCGGCTATTTCGACGGAAGCAACATCTGCCGCGTCCAGCGCGTCGGGTCCTTAAAAAGGCCAATTTGCCCGACACGGTTGCACGTTCGTGCAAACTTCCCAACAACTTTTTGCTGATGTTCTGCGGTATACGTAGCACCCCAGTGCGAAAATGTGACAGATCTACGTTGCATCGTTCATTGCTACAACGCGAAGCGACATTATTTTGTCGAAGGTGTTTTCTCACGTTGTCGTCTTCCTTTTTCGCTCGTGAAAAAATCAAAGTACAATTTACAGTAATATTATTTCGTTCAATAAAAAAAACAAAAACAAAAATGTACTATTATATACTATATAAAAATGTACTATTATATACAATATATAAAAATATACTATTATATACTAAAAATATGCTATTTATCAGACTGTTGTTAATAGTAAATTATAATTCGTTTATTTTTGTATATATACGTTATTTCTGACACAATCAACACTTGTGTAAAGATAATGAGTTTATTATACAATTTCTTGTATAATTTAAATAAGAAGCAATCGTCACGATACTTATTATAAATTTACTAAAATTGATAAAACTATTTAATCTTGTCGCTTGCGAATAATATTTTTTTTTAGACGTGTCCGTAAATTGACCGTCTTTCCCTTTTCCTTCTTTTATAAATTTCAGCAGTTTCATCTTTCGTTTTTTTCCGAGAAAAACGCGTTTGCCTGTTTGATCCGTGACCCGTACATAATACGGAGGAAACGACTTCGCACATCCTGCGTACTGCAAATGTATTTATGTAGCCATATAAGAGGATATTTCTGACTTATTATATTTTGCCAATCGCGATTGGGAGGTAATAAACATTTTTATTTAATGGAAAATGGAAAAAGAGAATATATTCAAAAATTCAAAATTTTTCAAATCCAAAACTTCTTTTGATTACAAACGACAATAAAATGCCGGGGTACACAGACAAACAAACTCTTTCTTTGTAAAACTTTATGAAATAAAATAAAATCATCAATTGAAAGTCGCAAAACCGGCGCCACAGACTGCATTCTACCATCGATTCGTGGCACGCAGAGACACTAGTAATAAAAACTTTCTCAATTCGCCGGTTTCATCAAAGGCGATATCTCACACAACTTTATGAGAGACGCCAACTGTTAGACTTATTATCATTATAAAAATTAGAGAAATATAAAAACGTCGCAATATAAATAAAAATGTAATAAAATCAACATCCTGTGTTGAATATATATTGCGCGTTATATAAGTAAAATCTCCTTTTCTCTCTTAAAAAAAAAAGCAAATAAAGTCGATATACTTGAACGTATCAAAGTTCTCTCGAATATCTCGATGTTACTTATTAACACTTTTATTGCGATGTTGATCGATATTTGAACTTTTTGTTTGATTAGTGGTGAACTCGCGATTCTGACAAGAACCGATTGGGCAAACGCACGAGATTCTCGTTATTTCTCTCTGATCTTTAAAATCCATCAAACAATGACAAGACCCGATATATACACACACATACATAACGACCTTAGTGTTTCGAAAACATGTTTTTCATACACTATGTATTTTTCACAGAGGCAAAAGTATAGAAACCAAAAGATAAATAATAAAGAAAAACAATATATAAAAGTTCAAAGTTCTGCCAAACAAATAACGGCTACAATACTCGGGAATCGATGAATGAGAAAACCAGATCGCACTCAGAATAATTCAGAATATAGCCACAACAAATAAGAAACGACGATTACGTTATCTTCCATTTACGAAAACAGGAGAAACATTTCACGTCAGAATGTGTCCGTGTAGATCGAATCCCTCTAAGACTCGGCAATCGATGGACCGTATCTTGGGATAGGCGTCGCGTCGTATTCATGGGAAATTTATCAGTAAGGGACAAATTCCAGACATTTCTACTCTCGAACTAACGCGAAACAGCTTATCGCCAATGGGCGGATTATCCACGAGGCACAATGGCTGCTACGTTTATGTAAAGAGAAAGAGGCTCGGCAAAAATTCTCTACAGAAAACCAAGAAAATCTCGTATCCTTAGTTCTATAGAAGAGCATGTCACGGTTGTAGCGTGTAATCTTTTGAATATCTTCTCTTGTTTTGGATAATTATTAATGTCGCCCCTCATATCAATATTTTCTTACAAAAATCTGTACAGAAGATACGTTTCAAAACAGAAATGTTATAACCGCATAAAGGGATAAATTAATTTCTTTATTAATTAATCATTTTTGTATATTAATTAATTTTCAACTTTTACTCTTTACTAGTATACGCAATAATATGTCATATGAAGATATATACGGAACATTACACAGAGCCAGGACATCATAGAGAACCAGTTTGGAGTTAACGCGAGAGTCGTTTCAGTTCCTATCGCGTCGCGACGTCGTCATTCGAGATCTAACGACTACGTTACGCAACAGCGTCGTCACAAAACAAACAGTCGCGTTTGCGCGAATTCTGTAACAAGACTATGTTTCTGTGCTGAAGGGATGCTGGTAATCTCGTTATGGACGCGTCAAAGCTGGACTAATTAACTGAATCGCGTACATGCGACAACAAACAAACAATATATTGATTCGATTATACGAACGGCATTGTTAAGATCAGCAGCGAGTGTAAGCTCGTTATTCGGAGATCGAGCACCGAGTTAAATCGCAGATTATTTTACTATTTGTCATTAATTAGTGTAGACCTACTTAAGAAGATCAGGTTGTATCGACGATTACGTAACACTCCTCGAGTGTTCATTAGCAGTCAGCAATTATTTTATTTGCAACGTTACGATCGATTGAGATAATGAGAATTGGTTTGATCAACGCTAATCTTCTCTTATTGAATTCAATATTCAACATGTTATTTTTAATCAACACAATAATATTGCAATAATCTTGCTTGAAACTTTGTGGTTTTAAATTCTCTTCTTTCTTTCACGCACACTTGGAACAGAATAATCTCACCACTATAAAGGTAAGTCAAGAAGAAGTTTTTCAAAAGAGAAAAGTTTCAATTATACGTACTCTTGAATATCCTACGTGTAGAATGAGGAGTAAGGTATATTGAATAAAAAGAGAATATGAAATTTGGCTCGCAAAACACACAATCAAAATTAAAACCTCGAGATTAACTTGTTCTTTTTTTGAATATAAGTAAACTGAGAGGAAATATCATGGAACTGTACGCGTACGTTTCCGTTTGTAGATGCGTCGATTGTGATGGAAATCGATATTCCGTTTGTCCTCGAAAAGTTGGAGAACTATTGGAATCGTTGCAAATGTTTTCCAAATTCTATGATAAAACGACAACTAGCGAAAAAAAACAAGAAAATTTAAATTGAAACTTTTCTCTTTTATTTTTCTCTTTCTCTCGCGCGCATAGTTCTATTTTTTCTACTTGATGACGTAAAAACGATTTCTATTGTGTCGTTTGGGAATAAATTTCTACAACGTCGATATATCTTACAATATTAACGTGCGGGTCTCTATATTCTTTTATCTTGCTCGTATGTATTTCGTCGCGTTAAAAAATAAACACAGTTTGATGTATGCATTTATATTTATAAATTCTAAAAAATTCATATCTCTAATATAATATTCCGATGTTTATTTTACAACATTTCTACGGTCTATCATTTATTATACGTTATTGCGGTAACGGTCGAAATATTTGACAAATCATCAATCAATGACTCATCGTCGCTCATCGCATCATCATTATAGAGACACATTTTCGTCATTTTGAAATTAAACTATAATCTCATGGTTGCTAAACACGATGCATCTCACAAATCTCATATGCGAACGTGATCGTTCGATATGTCTTCTATCTTTTATATTTTTCACATTAATGCGCATAAATAATAAATAAAGTCAGAGTAAAGATTGTTGTATATGTTTTTCTCCATAAAATTTCTATTTGTTCAAAAGTTTCGATCGGTATAGAAAATGGGCCCAGGGTCTATTCGATGGTCCCATCTTACTGAAGAAATATGTGAATCAGATACAGTAACTCGTTTCCCTCCCGTAAATACGCTCTTCTCGGACGAGGTCTCGTAAAAATCCGGTAAGGATATTGGTTGTCTCGAATATATCGAGAGGAATATACATCCATGGCGCGATATCGAAGGTGGTATCGCTTTTACAGCTACGATATCGTGGGAGTGTCGCACGAGCGCGCGCGCGACTTACGAAATATAAATGTCGGGGAAACAGAGGCGCCAATTTGCCGTGAAATCCTCCCAGGAACAGAGATTTTCGTCCTTTCGCTCCTCGCGGAAACAGGAATTCCCTATTCGACCTCGAAATGCGATTCCTTTTTTGCGAAACGCTATATTCGGGATTTAACCTTTTTGTTTTTTTGCCACATTTTTTCACATTTTCAATATCGTAAAAATTGTGCGATACTGTTCGAAATAATTTTTCCGTAATAAATCAAACATTTTTCGCACAAAATCAAACATATATTTCACACGCAATTCTTTTTAAATGCACGCACAGAATAAAAACTCTTTTCTATGAAATAAATCTACGATTATAATATACATTTTATTTAATTTCTTTTAGGGAGAAGAAAAATATTCTCCGTAAAAATCTTTTTCTAGCACCCAACATTTCCCGAAATATATTTCTTCGAGTCACTTTGCGTGAAATATTTTGTACGCAATGCATTCCTAAAGTTGATGGCACTTCGTCATGTGTGCAATTCACAGACTGAAACATCTTTGCTGTATGACGCCGTCCATCTCTTCGCCAAGGCGTTGCACGATCTCGACACGTCCCAGCAGATCGATATCAAGCCGTTATCCTGTGAGTCTACCGACACCTGGCCTCACGGTTATTCACTCATAAACTACATGAAGATCGTAAGTAGCATTATAATAGAAGCAATTAATAATCTGCAATAGTGATGATGCGAGTATCGATACTTTGGTTCTAATATTAGATGCTAATATTTGATGCGCGATTTTCGTAGCATGTAAATTGAACGTATAAAATCGCCGCTCGAGCGTATGGGCAATTTAATTTCATAAAGCCACGCATATATTATATCTACGTGATGTAAGAATAAAGACGATGTTTCTATAGTGGTAGCATATCTTCCGCATGATTAAGTACACGCTCGCATATATTCAACGCTGCAACGATGCACCCGATGTAGAAGCGGGTTATCGCAAATATATCGTGCTAGAGAGAAATTAATTTCGCGGAATTACGGACATTGCCGATCGATCGGCACCGACAACGTAATAAGCCATTATAACGATATGCTTAATCCGACTCATACACACACACACACACACGCACACCTTCTCTCGCTCTCTCTTGCTTATTCGCCTTCCACATGATCCGCGTTGCATCACTCATTAACAGCATCACGGGTTTTGCCATGTGCATCAAACTGGCGATCAATCAAATAACGAATGCAAAATTGATCTCATCGATTTGGTATCTCGATGTAAAGTTTTCACGTTCTCCGAAGTAACTTTGAAGGAACAGCAAAGAACATAAAACACGGAAATCAGAGAGAAAAATGATAAATACGCGACAGAGCACCAAGGGCGCCAAGTGCTGGAAATCACGCGGAGCCCGGACGCATTGACTTTCCACGATCCGCACGATTGTTCTCCTCAGAACAATGGAAAGTTACTCCGGTTTAAACGAAGCTGTCGCGCGCGCTGACAAATTGTCGTTCGCGGTTTCACCGCGCCGATGCATCCTGACGCATAAAGATCCGTGCATAAGCCTGGTTCTACTCTGTGCGCGTGCTACGTATCGCCGTGAGTTTGAATTGATGTGCGAATAAAGTTTCTATAATTAATGCAATGTGTTTCGTTTGATTAAACTTCCTGACTACTACGAACAGCTTCGCGTGTCTGTCTAGTTTTTTTTTTTTTTTTAAGAACGAACGTAAGAGGATTAAAATCGTATTGTTGATTACATATACATTATAATTTGTTTATTCACAGCGAGCGAATGCTGTCACTACTCCAGCTGTTTAATACCAAAATCGAATGCATTCGGAATATATATATATATATATATATCGTATAACGTATCGCATCAGCACCGCGAAACGAGTTACCGCAAAATATAAATATACGTTGCACGCAGGATATGGAAACGTGTCTCGTCATTCGTGTTGTCGTGTCGAGATTGACAAGCACCGGAAGGTGTGTACTCGCGCACAGGCGACTCTCATATGCAGCCATGTGACTGGCTACGTGTGCGTCATGAACGAGCGAAACCTGTCGCTCACGCGGCCGAACATCCTGACAAGGATCAGCAAAAAAATGATGTCGATAGAACCCAGGCTTGCGCGTGTAATCTCGACAAACTCGTTACGCAACTATCCGATTGAGCGACTATACCAAATTACAAGCGACGTAACAACTTTGATCTTTTTTTTCTCTTTCTCTCTCTCTCTCTCTTCCTTTCTATAAAATTAACGAGAGTATTTCCCGAAAGATTTTATAGACGTGAAACTATTTGTGACTCGGAGAATCTTTTTTATTGTTAAAATAAAACGATGTGAGGAAAATAGCATGTCGTTTAGAAGCGGAGCTTACGAATCTTTGATGTGCCTATAGAGCGGTTAGAACTTCAACGTTAAATGTGAGAATATCGCGAGAAAGATGCGTACAAAGCGTTCTCATATTTTACATCCGTTCAAATGACTTTTCGGCAGCGACATCGCTTTAATGAAACGTTCTCATAAACTCTGCGATAGGAAACTTTCCCACTAACCGATTATATATTCGAGAAATGTAGCATGATTAAATGTGACGGCAGCTGGTAAAACGCTTCAAAACTACGGTGACTCTCCTGCCAGTAGCTTTCCTCAAAGGAAATTTCGCGACGCGAGCAGTGCGGTTCAACAACTCGCGTTATACATTTCCGCCGATAGCTTTAACCGTCAGGAAAGATTCTTCTATATTCATTTGCGGAGTAATATTGATGTACTGCGTTCTCGCGTTGAGTGGTGCTGTAATCACCAACCCCGGGACGGGGTTATTCTTTCCCGAGGATTACGCCGTAAGTTGTCGTCGGTAACGATAGCGACTGTATTAATCTTGCGCGTCAAGCCAGAATTTAATTTCGCAGTATTCATGAGCCGGTAATTACAAGCAGTCGCCGAGAATTTCGTCCGCAATTACACCACGCCGTTTTGCAAATGTACAGTATGACTAGCGCGCGCACCAAGAGGGAAAGGAAAAGGGATAGGGTTCGGTTATCACGCGGGGGCTTAATTACTCGCGAATCGCTTTACGAGTGTTACAACTAAATTTCCGTCTCAAAATGCTGCCGCGTATTAATACCGCGTCTCTCTTCTCTGTGTCTCTCCCGATGTAATTGTGAATTATAACACCCTGGCGCACACTGTCGACAGACGCCCGCTTTATTCCGATTTTACAAGCGGCAAATGTTTAGACAAACCCTTCGTATACGCGCGAAATAAATGTACCTGGAATCTTCTCGTTTCCACTTCAAAAGCCCGCGGAATTACCGCGATGGTTGTCAAACTTCGTTTGTTCGGAAAATCTATGTAAAACGGAGTTTTTACGTCGATTAGACACAGTGTACACTATTACCACATGTATGTTTTAAAAAATTCATATGAAAAAACAAATGTTAAATAAGGTTTTTCTCAAATCAGATCGCTTGTTCAAATAAGCTTTTCACATAATAACAATCGTTTACGACTCAATTTTTGAGAACCACTGGACTTGCGCACATAAAACTGTTATTATCAGCTGTATGTTGATTTACTCGCATATTAAACGGTATGTCGGAGTATTTACCGTTCGCAAATGTAATCCATCAATCATTTTAATATCACATATTCACAAACATAATACAAACGTTATTTAATAATGTTATTTTAAACCTTATTTTATAATAACTTAATAACAACTATCAAAATCCGTGTAAAACAAATATATACAAATATGTATTGCAATATATAATATTTGATACACGACTTTAACTGTTAAACATTGCCGACGTATACTCCAGGTTGAAATGACTGGGCTTACGGGTATTATCAAGTTCGACCACCAGGGCTTTCGCTCCGACTTCGTGCTAGACATCATCGAGCTGAATAGCAAAGAGGGCTTGAAGAAAATCGGTACCTGGAACAGTACCAAGGGTATCAACTTCACGAGAAGCTACGGCGACGTTTACACCCAAATAGTTGAAAACTTGCAGAATAAGACTTTCATCGTGACGACTATACTGGTGAGTGACGTTTCCAATATACGCGCGTGACTTTCCCTTTATCAGTTGATGCGCGGATTTTAAAAAGCGTTCCCACCAGTGCGGCGTACTTTTTTTTTTTTTTTGTGCTTGTGCAGCTTTTGAAAATATACCGAAGCATTTATTCCGCTAAACGGAGACGTCGCGTCTATGTTTGCGTCGGCAAAAATCGCTCGTGACAACCCGCGGCGTTGAGCTTGAAAATCGTCGCTTTAATCGAAACGCGAACAAAACAGGAACGTCGGCCGCATTAAACGACCGCTTCACAGCGGGGCGGAAAATTTTTTTCCGTCCATTAGCAAAGCCTGCGCGCTCGTTAGCTTTCCGCTCGCTTTTTCCCGGCGAGAAAAGAAGAAGACGAGAGGGATGGAAACGCCGCCCGCGCCGCGTTGTCGGATACGCGCGACTTAATTGAAGTTTTCACGACGCGCTCAACTCGCATTACTTATTCTCGCGCTAATTGCGGCGACAAGTAATGTACTCGGTGATGTATTAAGTGCCTCGAAACTCGATGGAGAAAGGGTGAGTTTCCTACGGCGAGGCCGCAGGCAGTTCTGTAATAAGAAGTGGGATATATGTCGTGTGCGACGAGACAAGAACTTCGATGTTTTAACATCTCTTCGATTAGCATATATGATAACGCCATAATATTATAAAGAAACTCGGTCTTATACTACATAAAAAATACGATGTGTGACAAGTTGTAATGTGATTCGATACAGTTTGCTCTTCGTACGCGAAGCAGAGATTACAACTTTACTCACAGACCTTTTGTATAAGCGACGAGTCGATAAACTCTCGACTGCGCGTATCGGTAGATGAGTAGAGCGTGTCGCGTAGATACCTTTATATAGATATATATATATGCAGCATCCTATTGACGGCAGCTCGTTACCTCGTCACAGAGCGCGCCATATTGCATGCGGAAGGACTCGAGCGAGAAGCTCAGCGGAAACGCGCAATTCGAAGGCTACAGCGTCGACTTGATTTACGAGATATCGCGGCTGCTTGGATTCAATTATACGTTCCGGCTTGTGCCGGACGGACGTTACGGCTCGTACAACAAGCAGACGAAGGAGTGGGACGGGATGATGAAGGAGTTGCTCGATCAGAAAGCCGATCTCGCGATCGCCGATCTCACCATCACGTACGATCGAGAACAGGTTGTGGACTTCACGATGCCGTTTATGCCCCTAGGTGAGAGCCTAGCTATTATGACGGTACGCAATAACTGCGATATTGCACAATCACATATATGTAGTATTTGAGAAAAAAAAAAACTACAAGCTAATGGTGTTATAAATAAAAAAAAAAAAAAAAAAGTTATTCTCAGTATTGAACACTGGCGAGATAAAATCTGAGATACTGCACTTGGATAGCAATCTTTACCTCGCATATCTCTGAAGTAATTTCGAGCGCAATTTCACGAACCGTTATGTACTTTCGTAAGCTATACGTGGTCATAACGAAAACCGGAATAAATCTCACGAGTAATTATATTCGGTTCACTGTGTCCACACATCAATGCATTTTGCCCGTGGTCCGTGCCGTGTGGCTCAGCATAAAACGAGAATTTTGAATTTTCAGGGATCAGCATACTTTACCGCAAACCCATAAAGCAACCGCCGAATTTGTTCTCGTTCCTCAGCCCGCTCAGCCTCGACGTTTGGATCTACATGGCGACGGCTTATCTCGGAGTCTCCGTGCTCCTCTTTATACTCGCCAGGCAAGTAAAACCACTTTAAATTCTTACCGCGACAAAAATGTCCGTGACATTATTCAGGAAATTCAATCCCCTGTCTAATCGATCTGATCGTGTCGTCCTCTGTATGACGCAAAATTCACTCGAGAATATTATATACATATGTAGTAAACAAACAACCGTAAATTTTTTCATTTCGACAAGTTTGGTCACGTATCTCTTTGATTCATGTAAGTTAATATTTAATGAGAGAACAAAGAAAACTCCTTAACATCAATTTTTTTTTAACGTAACTTTTCTATAAAAAGTTAAAAAAACAAAAAAAACAAAAAAAGAAGTGAACATCTTTGGATCAGCACGTGTCTGAAATAATTGAGTTTAGATTCACGCCGTACGAATGGTACAACCCGCATCCATGCAACAAAAATCCAGATTGCCTGGAGAATCGCTTCAAGCTCCGTAACTGTTTGTGGTTTACCATTGGCTCTCTAATGCGGCAGGGTTGTGACATTCTGCCCAAGTAAGCTCTTTTCATGCATCAAGATAGCGATAATTGAACAGACACGCTGCACACTCGTATCGCATGTAACGCACTTAACTTAGCTTATTTTATCCCACAGCAAAACCAAAAGCGGTCGTTGCGCCTCACGTGCATAGACCATGGAAATGAGTACAGATCTGTATATGTCGCGCTGTTTCAGAATGACAGACAATAATAGATAATATAATTGATCGCGCGTCGAAACACACCTTGACATCTAATCTCGGCACTTCCCCTTTCACCTGTCCGCAGGTTCAGCCCCTACGAATGGGAGAACCCTCATCCGTGCAACGGGCAGTCCGAGGTCGAGAACGAGTTCACCCTGCTGAACTCGCTCTGGTTCACCATAGGCTCGCTCATGCAGCAAGGCTCCGATATAGCGCCGAAGTAAGTGTACCGAAGAAAACAATGTGTACAAAAACAATGTGTAAAGCACAACGATATTGTAGAAACTATAATATCGACCGTTTAGTATATAAACGTAGAGAATTATATCGGAGAGAGAAAATGTATTACAGATATATATATATTGTATAAATGAATCACCTTTCTGATTTAATAACGAACTGGTTGTGCTATATCTCAGGCTTGCTGCAATCAACCGTGTGTACACCACGCAACAAAAACACATGGGAATAATGGCAGGGGTGTATTGCTCTAACGATGCTTTTGGAGAGTCAACTATTCCTTTAATGAAAATTTAATTAGGAAGCTACTTAATTAAAGGGTTATGGTGTATTAAGTTCCAGTGGCGTCAGGAGGTAACAAAACTTTCTAATTAATTCGCAGTAGACCTTCTCTTTGTGATAGAGAATTAACTTGATACTCAATTAACAAGATATTTAATGATCGAAATTAAAAAGGATAGTAGAATTAAATATAGCCTTACTATATATATAATACGACTCCAAAACTCTCATTAAGAAATACATCCCTCGCTATATGATTTCCGGTGTTGCATGATGTATATATAAACGCGGCAAAATTAATCAAACTGCTTTGCTCGTTTCTAGTTATCGAAATGCATGAAATCCCCGTAGCATGCGTTAGTAAGCTTGGAATACCGTTACACAAGTAGTTTCCAATAATTTCAAGTGCTCATTTTACATGACATAATTACGTTTATGTATATACACGTCAGTGCTCGCGTGTAAAATAATTTGCCCGCAGACATGTTCCGTATATATATATATATATATATATGTATGTACACGCGTCCGTTTTCCACTCGCCAACTTCCATATTTGTCGTTTGATAACGAATCACTTAACTGCAAAACGGATTATGGCTCGCGACGTACAGAGTCGCGGACTCATTAGATAAAAATGAAGTTGAACTCCCGCGCGCTCTCGTTCACTTTTACGGAAAGGTGCAAAGTTGCCATCGAAGAACTTCCGCGAACGGCAGGTGGTATTGATTCTTCTTTTCTATTACTTCGTATTGCCAGCACGCGCTGTTTTATCGCGCGTAGAACGCAGTTTCTACAAACGAGACGGTTATACGGATTATTTTGCGAGCAAATTCGAGCGGTGGATTTCCGTTTAAACTATCTCACGATGAAAAGCAGTCTGCAGCCTTTGACCTGTTATCGCAGGGCCGTTTCAACTCGCATGGTCGCGGGCATGTGGTGGTTCTTCACGTTGATCATGATCTCCTCGTACACGGCTAATCTCGCGGCTTTCCTCACCGTCGAGAGGATGGATTCACCGATCGAGAGCGCCGAGGATCTCGCTAAGCAGACGAAGATTAAGTACGGTGCTCTCAAAGGTGGCAGCACAGCTGCCTTCTTTAGGGTGAGATTAATAATCTATATATCGCACATATATGTACGCGTGGATCGCATCGTTGTATACACACTTCTGAGTTTGCTCGTAAGGGAAAAATGTCAAACAATCACACATCGGTTTTGTATTTTTCTTTATCAAGAGCAAGACAATTTGTTGAAATTGCGAGAAAACTAATTCGAGCACAACAGAGAATTTCTATTATCTCATCAATTTTATCTCACACTGTTATCTCGCGATTGAGTCGACTCCGCTTTTGACGGTCTGAGCATCGAAGTAACACCGGAACCGCAGGATGCGACCGAGAATATTCTGGCATTAATTCGGGAGCGCCGATGCGTGCAATTAGGGATATAAGCGAGATACGATATCTCTTCGAAGTAAGGCATGCCTACTTCGGGGGTTAACCGATTTCCACTCCGACGTTCCATCGTTTAACGGCGCGCGTACTCAACCACGAAATTCTCGGCGTGATCTAGGATTCCAATTTCTCGACGTACCAACGCATGTGGTCCTTCATGGATTCAGCGAAGCCGACGGTATTTACATCAAGCAACGTCGAGGGCGTGGAACGAGTGATCAAGGGGAAAGGCAGTTACGCATTCCTGATGGAATCCACCTCCATCGAATACGTAATCGAGAGGAACTGCGACCTCACTCAAGTCGGCGGTCTCTTGGACTCCAAGGGATACGGCATTGCCATGCCACCGAGTAAGTGCTAAACAGAAATACATGTACATAGAAAATCTTGCGCTACATAAGAAGTCGCGAATAAAATTTTCGCGAAAAAGTGAAAACATATCGAATATTGCATTGTGTGTGTACGTGTAATTACATTGGCTTACTTATTTTTGCTCTCGAACAAAAGTACTTCATTAAAATGCATTCAAGTAAAACTTTTCGTTTATGCAAATGAAGCGTTGATCAAAAATAAATGCGAATTGTTCCCTCGGCAAATTGTGTCAAAGATCGTGCGAGCGTTGTCAGTTAGTTTATCCACAAGAGAGAGAGAGAGAGAGAGAGCACCTCTTTATTTCGAGAGACCGAATAAAATCGCATTGCCGTTTGTCCTGCTGATCTCGCGACCGCGTGAAAGCGCAAGTCGATAGAAAGCGCCAACCATGGCGGAAGGGATCGCGCGCGGAATTATCGGTGAGACGTTTGCGCGAGGGAACGATTGCCGCAACGGTACTTCCGAAAGTTTCGCGAAAGCACGACGCTATGAGGCGATAAAAGCAGCGACGGGAGTTCCTTAAAACGACCTTGGAACTTCAGACTCGCCATACAAAACGGCCATAAGCGACGCCATCCTGAAGCTGCAAGAGGAGGGAAAGCTTCATATGCTGAAGACGCGTTGGTGGAAGGAGAAACGAGGCGGCGGATCCTGTAGGGTAAGTTAATGTTTGTGTTTTAGTGCAAATTTACTTACGCAGTTCATTTTGACTTCTTAGAACGTGTCTGATATTCTTTTTAAAAATACGATTTGAAACTTACAGAATAAATAAGATTTTTAAAATAAATATTCGAACTTAGAAATAATAAAAAAAGAAATTATCTTTCAATCAATATTTCGATCTGTTTACCCGCAGCTGTAGTTTTATTTATCTGACACACGGATATTGTCAAAAAAAGAACCGCGGAAGTTCACTTTTAGTCCCTTCATTTTCTCTCTTATTTTTCCCTCGAGAGATATTCCGACGCGCTAGCTCAAGAAGCGCGCGTTCGAAATTCTTGCGCCAGGCTTCAGCAACTCCCCTCATCCGTCAGGTCGTCGGGGATTGGAGTGGCACGCAGAGAAGATTATTTCGCGAATTCGCGAAATCGAAGCTTCGCCGAGCTCTCGCGATCACTGTTGCACGCGCTGCTATTTCTCGCGCAGCAGCGCCGATAAATTCTTCCAATAATTCACCAGTTTCCTCTTGCCTCGAATAAATTCGTTGTTGTTTGACAAACAAACATAAATTAAATAATTGTATAGTTATGCAAAAGAAATTAACTCTTCAATATTATTTCCTCGCTAAAATCATTGTAAAGAAAATACAAAACATATGTTTAATATTTGTGTTGCAAACACAACGTAATTTAGATATATAATTTAGATATATATGAGACAATTGATAACTAAACGACAAATAACTGTTGTCGTTAATAAGTTCCATCCTTCAAAACAAATATACGTATATATAAATTATATAAAGAAAGTATCTTATATAAAACGCGTCGAGTTTTGCCTTGTTCACAAGATTAAATTGATTGCTCGACGCTGCGATGGCGTACAGAACAGAAGATACAATAATTAATAGACCACTTCCTCTCTTCTCTCAACGCTTTCATCAACGTGAGTACGAGCAAGCGCAATCAAATTTTCGCTATATTATCAGCGACGCGCAACCCTCTGCGAAACATTTCAATAATGAACAGCCGAGCGTGAAGGCCGCGCGTACATTAACGATGCGCAACGGACTAAACACGAAAACCGCCGTTTCTCCCTGGCGGCGCATTACCGATGCAGCGGAGAGCCATATTCAGCCCGCAAACCGGCCATGTTAATGCGCCACAAGCTAATCGATGTTTCTCACGGTTCAGGACGACACGTCGAAGAGCAGCTCGGCGGCGAACGAACTCGGTCTGGCGAACGTCGGCGGTGTCTTCGTGGTGCTGATGGGCGGTATGGGCGTCGCCTGCGTGATCGCCGTCTGCGAGTTCGTGTGGAAGAGTCGGCAGGTAGCCTTGCACGATCGGGTGAGTGGCGCAAAATAGCACGTGGAAGAAGGTCGCGCGGTAATCTCGCCGGAAGTCGCTGCTTCGGAATCCGCCGCGGCTTCCACGCGGCTCGATCCCGACGCGATCTATCCCGACATACCGCGCGAATATATCAGTTGATGCTCGTACGTTGGTGGAGTTCCTCTCTAATGGTCTCGGTACAGAACGACTCGGGTCTGATCGTTCGCGCGCGGCTCAAATCTTACTCCCGTGATCGATCGATCCTCCCGCCCGTAGACGCGGTTACGTCAAAGATTACAGTATCGCGTTCTCAACTGTGCACTGTGTCTCTTCATTTTCCCTCACTTTTCTACTATCTTCCGCCGTAACACTTATTTTTCTTTTCTCCCGTTATCGTGTGCCGTTAATCTTCGTGATTATCCCCCATTGTCTCGTAGCGAATATCGTCGTTAGGCTGACTGACCAAAGTGACCGTCCTCTCGCTCGCGGTATATCGAAAATGTGCCAATGTAAGCTTTTACAACTAAAGAAATGCCTCGAGTTTGTCATGACTTGCACGAAATTCGACCGCGTTCGAACTTTTGTTCTCGCCTGTCTTAACATCGCGCGCTTACCACAGAGTTCAGAGTAACAACCTCCACATGTCCCCCTTTGAGGTTCGCACAAACGAACATAAAGTCGCGCTAGTATTTTACACAAAAGCGTCATAATTATTCGAGACGACTATAGAAAAACAACCAACAACAGTTTTATAAAAAAAAAAAAAAATAAAAAAAAAAAAAACAAAATAGGAAAGGAGATTTGTATTCACTGTATGCGGTCAAATGTGAAATCAGCTTGTACGATTTAAAATCTCGTATAGCGCGAGTTGCGATGTCCGGCGTGCGGTCTGCGCGATATATATATTCGTGTGCCATCGTTTGCATACATTCAAGGAGTAAGCAAACAGGGCAAGTATTTGAAAGAGGGCTCGTCCACAAATACGACGAATATGCAGCTTTGCACTGGCGGATCAGTTCGTACGTATTGAAAAGTAAACAGACCTATGAGGTAGCGCGGCATGGTTGTACCTCTTTTCAGACCCTGCTTTAGGGTAGATGTTGCGGAAGAGCATATGCAAGGTCCTCCAAAAATTTAAATCGGCTTAGATCGATCTTATGCGAGACGAGATACTCCTGCGGCAAATAGTGTGGATTTAATACCTACCTATATAGAGTTTCGAATAGCATTTGAATTCCTACACTGTGATGTATTGATACAATCGAAACAAAATGACCGGTGCAATCGCGATATTTGATACAATACAAAAAATAAAAATATGTAAAACAAAGTCAATTGAACAGATAGTTGAAGTAAAACAAAGTAATGGTTTACAGCGATTGCAATGCTTCGCGTAAAAAACATCTGCAACGAGATTGACAATAAACACTTAATTATCTTTTAAAGAAATCATTAAAACAAGCATGATATAAAGATTTGCACAAATCAGTTTCGTTTGCTATTCAAAACTTTACCGCTTCATCATTCAAACATCGCAAGAATGACTGATGTAACGAATCTGACTCAGGCATTTTGGTGTTCTGTTTTAGAAGCAGAAAGCCTCAGGGAAACCGATCTGCGAAGGTTTTACAGATCTGCACTAGCGACGGTACGCGCTGCGCTGCGAAACAAAAACAGATTCTTAAACTCAAGCCGTACCTCAAAGCGTATCCGATCCGAGTTCAGTGGACCTAAGGAAGAACTCCATCACGAGTGATCGGAAGTGTATAAAGATCGTAATTTCATAGGGGCAAACTAAAATAATCGGACAGAAAAAGCAACAAACTTTGACTTTTCCAATTTTCTTACTACAAAACGAAAAATAAATCAAAATACATTTGGCCAGATTACTTCCGTAAAACCGTTGTAGAAACCGTCAAATTTAAAACAAAGTAAATCTATATAAAATATCAGATATTCCTGATATGAACTAATTAGATAATTGTCTGCGGCGGAATTTTTCGGAATATTTTTGTTGGCGCGAACAAATTATCAAAACTTAATAAACAACAATACTAATATTTAAAAAAAAGATTGGAAAAGTCAATATGGCGTTTGCCATTTGCTCATATCAAAACTTAGATTAATGAAAAAAGACTTTAAGCCTCGCAACAAAAAAGGCCAGATTCTCTCTCGCAAAGTCATAAACGTCTCGATCGACGTCAAAGTATTACTTAAAAAAAAAAAAAAAAAGAAACAAAAAAAAACAAAAACATAAAAAAATCGCAGTGTTCGCAACCAAATTATTAGTGCTGCGATAACAGACAGAACTTTTAAGAACAATCACGATTTTATACCAACTAGATAGTAAATGTATAGTGTAACAGGTTACAAGACGTTTTATTGTACATAATGTGTAGCTGTGTCGATTTAACAAATGCGTACATATATACATGGAATCCGTTCGCTTCTCGATATCACAAGCGATAGACTTGAAGGAGCATGTGGATTTAAAAAGGTGATACGTGATCTATACAACAAACAAAATGTTCTACAAATTGTGATGAATTTTTACAAAAATTAAGTCACGCACTCGCTCACGGCAAGTGTAATATTGTTACATTGCATGAAAACGTCAAGTATCATCTTTTATCTATACGCATCTTTCATCATGTAAACTATATTTCCGATCCACGCGAAGAAGCGCACGGACTCCGAAAAATCCGTTAATGAATCGACGAATGAATCTCTGTGTCACGGCGAAGTATTGTATGAAAATTGCGATTTCAAAAATATTGCATTACTTGTATGTATACAATAGTAAGTAAAGCTGAAAGGCCGCGCGTTGTATGTCAGTTCAGTATGACATTGTTAGTTGTGTTCGCAACGTTTTTTGCTTCTCTCCCGTCACGGATTTACAGAAGGTGAGCTCATTTATTCTCTTCTACATTTATATATTTAAACTTAACGCAATCAATTATCGGAATATTTTATGTGTGTGTTTTTTTACAAACATACATTTACTTGTACAATTATGTCCAATTAGTTTATTGCTTGTACAAGCTCGGTAAATTTTCTATTAAATTTTTTTTTTTTAAGACGGTAGAGTTGAACATTATTTTAACTATAATAAAATACAAAAATCTTTCATTTTCACTTGTTCCTCTCTTATTCAACCATGTTGTTCGGTAGTAAATTTCTTAAGTATGTAATTAATCTTTCAGCTCAAACTCCTGAGCAAAATTACCTCTTTTCGCGGAACTTTCGATTGCGTCGCAAACAAAAGTAAAAATTAAACGTCCACATCTCAACGTAGAGAGTTTGAGCTGATCGATTCATTCGCAATCGAATACATGAGCTTGGTCGCAATCGTCTTTCCATGGAACTTACAGAAGTCCGTGTACTCAGAAATGGCGGACGAATTGCGATACGCTTTGGACTGCGGCAACGGAAATAAAAAGCCGTCGAGGAAAACGTTTTGTCGACGTCAAGGGCAACAATCGAGCTTGTCGATCGTCTCAGAGGAGAACAAGTACATGGCGTGCAACAAGTACAGACATTTTGTCGGGAAAGCACCTCTGACATGAACAAAAGAAACAGTTGACCGAATGGAAGGACCGAGTGATGAATTTCTTTAATTGCAGCGCTTGAAGAAAGAGCGTTGAAAAATGCCGACGATTGCCGGACCATTGCAAAGAGTTGTTGAATTTTCTCTAGTTCAAAATCAAACAATTCGTTACCACGAGCGCTGTATCCGATGCAAGAAGCGTAAGAAGAAAGTCGGTATGCAGCTGAAGGACTTTGGCACACGGGAGAGGAAAAGAAAACCGTATAAATTCGTTAAGTTACGAAAATTCGCGATGCGATTCGAATCGATGTATACAGACACTCACCGAGATTTACATTTAACTTATACGTGTACATGTCTGTCCTTTTTTACAAACTACTGTCGAATAAGATAGTCCACCGTCTAGCCCTTGGTAGGGTTTTGAATGTTTACTTGTCGAGCGTGATGCGAAAGAACGAGCGAGTGAACACATTACATAGGTACGTCGCGTGAAATTAGGTGGCCTTTCATCGACGTTAAAGATATATTGTCTCGCTATCTTGTAAGGTATTCTATTGAAATTCATTTGAATATAATCGTCGATGTATGTGAATTCGATCGTAAACACGGCGCGGAGATGTGAATTCGCGCGCTTAATAACAACGATTTCACCGTCACCGCAATTGAGCGAATTCCGCTGGTGTATAAATAATAAACTGAACAATTTCATATATTCTCCATCTTAAATCTGCGAGACACGAGACTGCGAACGGTTATTATAACGCACTGTTTTATCACGGTCAACTGTTATTACATACATTATTCGCGGTAGATAGTTGAAATATTTCAACGTAACTTTGTTCAAATTTATTCTTACCCTTAGCTGGTCTGACGGGGTCCATAAGGTCAATGAAATATTATTTGAGCAAACTAGAATTAATTAATCGAATTATATCTAGATGGTATATTCTGCAAGCTGCGTTCGAGACGCGCTGTCATATTCCGTCGATTGGAAAAGATTGTTATTAGACAACGACCAGATTGGTTTTTCAAAGAGTATACGTCATTGTTATTCCTGATCTCCCTGTTTGTTCCATCTACCTTACATGTTTATGCGGACCTTGTGAACCAAGCAGTATTCATTTCAAGTCTTCCCTCGATAAAGAAACAGAAAAAGAAACGAGCCATCTTTTAAACAGCAGCTCTCCAGGAACTCATAAATCAGAGGATAAATGTTTGACGTTATGTTGAAGAATGTGTGACATTCCCAATCGTTTGTGTAGATATTATTTTAAGATGAGCATAAGAGAGAGGAAAAGAGAGAGAGAGAGAGAGAGAGACAGAGAGAGAGAGAGAGAACAGAAACAAAATGCAACACATATTTTATTTCTTTCTCTTCTATATTTGCACGTCCCACAGATTTCGTTCTTGATACAATTTACCAAGTTGAAAGCGATTATAGAGACGTACGTACAAACACGCAATACATACACACACGTATGCTCACAGATACACAAGACATTTACTGTAAATATGCGTTCATACGTCGTATAAATTTGTTAAGAACATATATGGATTCTACTTCTTATATAAAATGTACTACAAGCATCATATTAAACGTGAATAAAATTAATCGTCTGTAAATTCTCATCATACGCTCTCTGTTATAATTATATCCTCGTCATATCCTGTTTCCTGTTGATAATTATTAGATAATTATTGACTGATCACAAAATCTAAAGCAACAAATCAAAAGTTTTTTATATTTTTATTTTTTAACACAATTTTTGTTATATCATATCGCACAGTTATATTATACAGAAATCTGAAAAACCGAACGGGTCTGATAAGAGAAAAACTTTTATGTAGGTTTTACGCATCTCGCGTAAATTGTACTTTACTTATTACTGCTATAAATATTTTTATTTTCTCTTGAAACGAGTTGTACATTGGACACTATTCTAGATCGAAAATATTCTGCGGCACTAGCGTCTTTCATTGCGAGGACGGATTGCGTGAAAACTTGGGAAGGGAGTTTAGAGCATGCGCCGCCAAGAAGAGCCGCGTAAGAAGTGATGTTCGGATTTAGAGCCGCGTGTAGTGTGAGGTTCGTTCAGTAAAGCACGCGTCTTAAAAGTCTTTTGTCTTAAATAGTGTGAATCGCATCATTACATTTTAGGTAAGCTCTTGCGAATCTTAGCAAGTTCTCTGCAATCTTTTTAGAATAAAGATTCTCTATTCGCTCACGTGTTCGCTTAGAATCTTGATACATACCTACTTCTTTTGCCATAAAAATCACATAACTTACGCTGTATTTTCGTTCTATCGTTTTTAATAAAAAAATTATCCTACTTTTTCATCTAATGTGACTGATCTTGTTAAACGTCTCGAGTAAAACGAGTTTTTTTTTAACAAGTTTAGAAGAAAATTATTTAGAGAAAATTTTTCTTTCTCTCTCTCTCTCTCTCTCTCTCTCTCTCTCTCTCTCTCGTTCTCTAGAATATTTTCTCAGAATACTTAAAAAGTAAAGCTTTATCAATTAATCAATCTTTCTCTCACTCTCAATTTTTAAAAAAGGAGAGAGAGAAAGCGAGACAAAAACAGAGAGAAAGAGTGTGAAGTACGCACAATCACGCAAACCTGATAAAGTCTTTTTTTAATTATTTTATTTTTACCACTACTATCAATACATTATGTAAGTTAGTGTGCAATACAATTAAATTAAAATGTTTAAACAAATACATTGTTTTGACTGTGTGGTAAAAACATTACGTATCTATTATATATACTTGTATCTAGAGAAAAATTGTTTACAAATAAAAAAAAAAACTTTCAATTGTATTTCGTCGAAATCTATGTCACACAGCAAACGCGACAAGCACCAGTGGCGACGGGCGACGCTCGGCGTCTAAATATATCTACGTCGTTATGTGCTCTCTTAAGATTTTCGTTAGTTTTCCATGTTCACGTCTGCACGCGCGAGATCGTTCAAAAATTTTCAATCGCACACATTACTGTATAGGTTAGGATTTTTGTTTGTATCTGTATACCAAAGCTGTATAAATTGACATTCTCTGAAATATCTATCGCAAATCAATATCTCGCGCGTGAGAAATAAATAGGCGTGAATGCATACTTAGTATGAATGAATGAAAAAGAATACGCCAGACTGTGCGTACATTTGGCACGACGACAGTAGACTACGTGGAATTTCGAATTCTGAATGCATGCAATGCTGCTAGAAACACGCAGACATTAATCGTCTCCAGCTAATAAAAGACGGTCCCAGGAAGACATTTATTTTTGCTAAGCAATGTTTTTTTTTTTTATCTATGCCCACAAAAGTTGATATAAAGTACAAGTATAAAAATATTGTTTTGTTACAACAAATCTACTGCAATTAAAGTTCGGATGACAAAGAGATCGTTTTCAACTTGTGTACAAGAAACAATTCTTTGTCGCGCGTGCGTGCGCGCGCGCGTGCTAGAAATGATCAAAAAAAGAAAATCAAAATTCGTATCGGTCACGATATACGATTATAATTAACTTGCGTAAATATCTCGTTAATTTTCTTCGCACGGTCGTTGTAAGAGCGAAAAGGAGAAGAAGAGGAAAAGAGAGAGACTTAATATTTTTTCAACTACAAGATATATAAAATAAACTCAAACGGAAAAGTAACGTAATATTTGTCGCCCGCGATGTGTACCGTTTAATCGCAGCGTGCAGATTTATTAAGAGCACAAACATCAAGCAAATAACTAAATTCAATATTGGAAGATTGATTTTAGACGGGACTAAATATTTATGCGCGCCGAGAGCGACTTTCAGGCGGTAACGTTGCCTTCCGGTTAGTTTATATAACGTCGGCCGGATAAGTGCTCGCTCAAGATCTTTCCGTTTGGCTGTACGTACGTGTGCAAGTCGTACGCGACGTTAACATCCGACTTTATTAGATACACACCCGCGCCTGTCAAGATACTTGCCCGGCAAACCGATGTATTTTAAGTTTTCTTATTGTGCACACAGAATGATCGCTATAAGATGGTGACCAAGCGTCTTTTGGTATTATTGCCGATATTTTTGACCTACGCTTTAGGTTTTCCAAAAAAAGTACATATAGGTAAGACAAATGCTCTCACTGTCATAACTAATGAATAAACTACGAATGCGCAAACAATAGTCGATATATAATAATTACAGCGGGGCTATTCGATCAAGATGACGAGATTCAAAGAACGTTCAAATCGTCAATAAAAGCAGTAAATAGGGAGAGGCATGAGAATGAGGAGCTATCGAATGTGTTTTTAGAATCTAAAATTAACGAGATTGAAGATGATCCTTTTGAAGCGTCATCAAAAGGTAAAGCATTTTAGTAAATGTCACTTTTACACAAATTTAATCATATATATATATATATGTTCCTTATATTCTTATTTATTGTTATAAAAATTCTTTGAAATATTTTAGTATGTGAAATGATTAGTTTTGGAGTAGTTGGCATTTTCGGACCTCAGGAAAAAATTACTGCTGATTATATACAAAGCGTATGCGAAGCAATGGAAGTGCCGTATATCTCTGTCAGACAAGATTCTGCATCTCACACATCTTACCCACGTGGGTTAGGACTAAACTTATACCCGCATGTGAGCTCGTTGTCACGAGTAAGTAAATCTAAAGCTTCCAATACATCAAATAAAATTTTATCTTTGCTTAGCGCAAAAACTAAAATTGTTAATCAGTTGTGAATTGTTAGTTGTTAATTGTTAATTAATTTCTCTCAATTCTCTTGTTGTTGGAAGTCGTTCTCACAATTCTAATGTAATTGACAAAACTTTTAGATATACGATCAACTTGTAACGGACTTTGAATGGAAATCGTTTGCAATATTGTACGAGAATACCGACAGTCTGATTCGCTTGCATCTTCTGTTAAAACGATGGGACGCCCAAGGCAATTCCATGTTCGTGTATCATTTGGGTAACGGACCGAACTATAGGTACACTGAACATTTGAAATTTCGCAGTAACTGTCTCAAAGATCTTTTGATCCCATTGCCACGAGTCTTTTCTCAGAAATGTCAGACTTGATTCATTTTAATACAAACACAAAAGACTACATCTTCATACATATATTTTTAAAGAAAATTATGTATTTTTGTTTACATTATTTGTGCGAAGTTACACTAAAAGAAGTAACAATTAGAACAAGAGAGATCGTTTAGATGAGTTTAGAAAATATCATGCAACAAAAAAACTGTTGATTAATTAAAATACAGTTTGTTGTAAAATTCTGTACAGGAAAGGGATGCAAGCCATCAAAGAATCGGAACTCGAAAACATAATTATTGATTGTTCGTACGACATACTCGCCGAGGTTCTCAAACAAGCACAACAAGTTGGGATATTGTCTGAAAAGCACAGAGTGATCGTGACTTCTTTGGTAAGACATACTTTTTTTTATAAGTAAAAACAAAAAAACTAAATTTTTATTAAAATGTTTGAATATGACAAAAAAGTTTGACAAAATCAAACTTGTCGTTATGTTTGACGTTTGATAGGATCTGCAAACTTTGGACTTGGAGCCATATCAATATTCCGGCGTCAACTTCACCGGTTTGCGCCTGATTGACCCTGAAGATCCGATAGTGAATCAAACTTTCAAGAAACACAAGAATGAATGGGGCCTAGATGCTTCACAGTTGCGAGTTGAACCAGCTCTCATGTACGACGCGGTGCAGCTGTTTGCGAGAGCTTTCAAACAACTCAAAGACGCTACCAGAGGCGACATCAAGAAACTGCCGTGTGACGGTAGTGTTAGATGGGAACACGGGCTCAGTTTGAGCAACTTCATGCGATCGGTAAGATTTTTTTAATCCCCGTGGAACATAAGAGAAAATTTGTTCTTCTGCTATACAGAAAAAAATCTTACATTTTTTTTTTTTTTTTTTTTTTTTTTTTTTTTTTACGGGTTTACGCAAACATTTTATTTTTATTTTTTTTTCGTCTTTATAGACCGAAACGATAGGTTTGACNATTTGTTCTTCTGCTATACAGAAAAAAATCTTACTTTTTTTTTTTTTTTTTTTTTTTTTTTTTTATATTATTAATTTATTTAAATTTTATATTATTAATTTAATTTCGTCTTTATAGACCGAAACGATAGGTTTGACTGGTCTCGTCAAGTTCGACAGAGATGGCTTTCGCAGTAACATACGCTTAGATATTGTGAGATTAACTGAATCCGGTTTGAAAAAAATCGGTGAATGGAATAGTACAAAAGGAAATAATATCGATTGGTTGCCAGAAAAAGGCAAAAAGACAGATATCGAATTGAGCTTGCAAAACAGAACTTTCATAGTTCTGATATCACTCACAGCTCCTTACGGTATGGAAAAAGAATCATCGACGTCGTTGATTGGCAATGATCGCTACGAAGGGTTTGCGATTGATATTATACAGCTTTGTAGCGAAATATTGGGCTTTAATTATACGTTTCAAGTCGAGCCGGATTATGGCTCAAAAAATGAAATAACTGGAAAATGGTCCGGTATGCTCGGAAAAATTATGGCTGATGTTAGTATTGTTGATATCACCTAACAAATTTCTAGCCACAATTGAAACAAACAACGAAACGACAAAGTATATTATAGTATCGAAAAACCAATACCTTTTTTTTCAGGAAGCAGATCTAGCTATAACAGATTTGACGATAACCTCCCAAAGAGAAGAAGCTGTCGATTTTACGATGCCGTTCATGAATTTAGTTAAGTTGAGTTTAATTTAGTAATTTACCATCACTATATGATAAAACTTTTACAGTCAATTCTTCTTTTAATAACAAAAAACATTATTTTCTTTCTAATTAATGACTAAATCAATTTAAAGAAAGAGTCGTTACTGTTTACTACTTCTTTTCTCTACATCGTTTTATTCTATACACGAACTTATATGTATGTAATTTTGCAGGAATCAGTATTCTTTTCAGAAAGCCGACCAAGATGGCACCCAGTTTATTTTCCTTTTTAAGTCCGTTTTCCAACGAAGTATGGTCTTACTTGATCGGCGCGTATATCATAGTTTCGCTATTGCTTTTTATTATCGGGAGAATGTGTCCCGAAGAATGGAATAATCCTTATCCTTGCATCGAAGATCCTGAAACGCTCGAAAATCAATTCACTATGAAGAACTCTTTTTGGTTCGCGATAGGTAGCATCATGCAACAAGGCAGTGAAATAGCACCTATGTACGAAATATTTCTCTCATCTTAAGGTATTACCCTCACGTCCCTGCGGGCGCGGGAGAGCGGAGATAGTTCTATCTCACTCCAATTGAAGAAATGGTAACGTCGCTCTTTCTCATACTAATCATAAAATCGCTCGTTTTCTGTGTTATTTTAATTATTACTGAAAAACTGTACGGTACAGGCGTCTGATTTTACACACATATTTTCTTTATAGTTTAAAGAAGCTGTAGTAATATTTTTAGCCAAATCTGAAAATTTGAACTCTAGATATTTAGGTAAATGCGCGTGATTTCCTCATTCTCTCTATCACTTCCATGTTAAATCATGCGAAATTCGTTTTCGATTTTCTCAAAAACTGTACGGTAAAAAAATCTGAAAAAGTTCAGGGGTTCATAGATCAAGTTTTTAAACATTGTGTAGAAGTTTAAAGTAAAACTGAAAATTAGAAAACAATCGAGGGTAATATCTTAAGAAACTTTCGTTTTTGCACATAAATTTATAAAAAAGCGATTTTTATCTAAACTTCAAACTTGAATTTTAGAGGTATCTCTACGCGCATGGTTGCTGGATCATGGTGGTTCTTCTGCCTCATAATGGTTAGTTCGTACACTGCTAATTTGGCAGCTTTTCTGACTGTCGAAACGGTAACTTCGCCGTTTGACAGCGTAGACGAGTTAGCCAAAAAAAAAACGATCAAGTATGGCGCAAAATTGAAAGGATCGACGCTCAATTTCTTTAAAGTAAGCTATCTTTTCTTGTCTGTTTTTTCAATTTTTGTTGAAATATATTTCTCTACAACAAATTTATACCAATAAGTTATTACTTGATGAAAATGTTTTACTTTTAGAATTTTTTAATAGAAAAGTTTTAGATATATTTTTATACGTAAACTGAATTTTTTATGTTTTTTAACTAAATTCAAAATTTTACGACTATTGAATAAAACAATTCTCTATGTACAACATCTCTAATAAACAAAAATGCGTGCGTAATAGATTTTAGGTAGATTTTAGGTAGATTTTTCAGGACATTCACGTATTTGCTATTCTTATAGCATGTACAAATATTTTCAGATGTAAGATAAACTTTAAGTAATCCCACACAAGTACATTAGTGTAGTTTTTACGATTATACACATGATATTGTTAATTTGTTTTCACTTACTTACATTCTGTTCTGCTTACAATTTTTAAAAATATTTTCAGCATAATTGCAATTCTTAGAACAAAACAGTCAGTTTTTTCTTTTTTTTCCATTGACACATGCGATTAATTCCGCACGAAACACAACTAGTTAAATAATTACTTAATAAATTCAAGAAGCAAACTAGTATATTAGCGAAACAGTTACGTTCGTTAATCTGACATTTGCTAACACTTTGGTGAACTTGAAGTTGCACTCTGAGTTTTTTAATCTTCTGCATATTATTATTGTTACAACTTGTCCGTAAATAACAAACTAGTTTTGAGAAGTGGTAATTTTCCCATATATTTTTCCACAATATATTTTTCCGATATATTTCCGTTACATCGCTCAAAATGCATACAAAGACATATTTTTGAAAACTCGCTTACTAATCCGCATAGATGCTTACTACTATAGAAAATATACACGATAAGTATGAGAGCTACATTCTAACTCAGTTTTTTGAAAGAATTTTGCGACTTCCAAGGAAAGCAACTACTCGGTATATAAGGAGATGTATGATACCATGATGGAAAATGCGAAGGATGTTTTACCGGAAAGCAATGTAAAAGCTGTGGAAAAAGTCAAACAAGAAGAGTATGCGTTTTTGATGGAGTCCAGTTCAATCGAGTACATATCACGTAATGCGTAACACGTATTGTTTTTTATAGTTATCATTACATGTATAGTGAGTATTTGTTTTTTATACAGATACATAATGGAACGCGAATGCAATGTAACCCAGATAGGCGGCTTGTTAGACGAAAAAGGGTATGGCATCGCTATGAAAAAACGTGAGTTATATAATCAAAACTTAATTGTACTAAAAATATTATTTTATAGAAATGATATTTTGCATTATTGTTACATACTGGTATCTGGTAATTGCCGGAACATCGCTCGTAGACAGATAGAAAGAGTTATTTTGAGTCGAAAAGTTCTATACCACTTTGCAAGATTCACAATAATTAACCAGATGTTAATTAATAAAGATGTGGGTGCACGCTTATTCGGGGATTTTTATTAATTAACATCTCGTTAATTATTGCAAAATGATATAGGATTTTTCGACTCAGAATAATCCCTTCTGTTTATTTATAGATTCGCCATACAGACACAATTTGAACAGTGCAATTTTGAAGCTATCAGAGGCAGGTTTAATCACTGAACTCAAAAAGAAATGGTGGACAGAAAAACGCGGTGGTGGAAGGTGTCGAGTAAGCAAAAGATGTTATCTTGAATAAACTTCCAAAAAGCGATTACCTCCGATTTGACTGATAACGAAGAAAAGGGGTTTGCGCCAGAAATCTATTTCGGAATCTTATTTACTAGGTAAAATAAGTATTTATGCCAAAAATTAGACAAATCGGAGGTAATCGCTTTTCGAGAGTGCATCCGTTATTTTTTTTATAAATTACAAATTATAAAATAAAAATTTGTATTTTATAAAATACAAATTTCATAAAATACAAATGATTAAAGATGTTATTTTTTTTTATAAAATACAAATTGCATATACAACACACGTTACGTTAAAATTTATTCATTCTCGTTGTACAGGAAAATGGTGGAGCTGGTTCAGCAGAAGAATTAAATCTCGATAATGTTGGCGGCGTATTTTTAGTGCTCATGGTAGGCGTTGCTCTGTCCACTGTATACACCGTAATTGAGTTACTTTGGGAAATTGCCCACACGTCGATTCGAGAAAACGTAAGCGAACTGTTCTTATTTATCGCATCGTATTATTCTGTTTCTCATTAAAACGCGCAGCAGTGCTGATTCTTATACAATGGTATTTATATAGTATATATGTATTTTTATAGTCAAGTATTTAACTGTTTATTTCTAATTTTTTTTTAGGTGTCGTTTAAAGAAGAATTAATAGACGAACTCAAATTCATCGCACAGTGTAGTGCCTCAAAGCCAGTGCGAAGAAGAAATGGATTATCCAACAAAAGTGACAGTACGAGAGGGTGCACTCCCCCGTACGGTTTTATACCGACAGTAATAAGAACGTCGCCAACCGACGACGCATAACGTTCGAACGAGTTTTGAATAACAACGATGATGTTATCGTACGTACACCGATTTACTACTTTGTTGTTCATACTTGTGTCGGATAAATTTTCAAACACGCAGCTTAATAAGATATTCGTATTGAATAAAGAAAAATTGTAAAAACTTATATAACTTAAAACTTGTATAATATGTAATTTCGTAGCGAAATAAAAGTATTTTAAATGTTTTATTTGTTTTATTTTTCACTATCATTTTCTATATCGCGTCAATTGTCAAACACTGTCAGACTTGAATTCACAATTTGCGGTGTGACATATTGGTATAATATATTAAATGTCTCGTATTATAATCTAAAATATAGCAATAAAATATAAATTATCGCTTGTATGTTGTATGTCGTAATTGTTTCTTTTTGACACTTTTGATTCGCGCTAGTAAGTGTCTATAAACAATCGTGCGACACGATTATTCGGAGCGATAAGAAAACAAGTCTTTCTCCTGAAATAAGCACGATGATCATGCGCAAAAGAGCAGGACAGCGCGGTAGAAGGCTCTATTACCTACTTCTCGTAGTCGAAATAGTCAACGAGTGATGATAGTATAGCTGCTGGCTTTAATAGTGATTCGTGGTTTATTTAAGTTCTCAATACGTTTACTTCGCGTTGAAAAGTTTCTCTCCGAGTGATTCTAATGTTGCTTAATAAAATTCAATTTACCGCGCGAGTGATCTCATACCATCAATCAACGTGAACAGATCTGAATCTGAATAAGCTATAGTAAAGAGTACGAGTATTATCAATATTTTTTTTAGCTATAGATGGAAAGATGTTGTAATCGTGTACTTAGTTCCGAAACATTAATATGGTTTTAATCAATAAATCGCTCGTGAAATAGATCATAAATTGAGTTAAAAGGCCGATACGAGCAGTAAATACAAGTTGGTCGTGTATGAGATTCTTACGTAGGACAGACGAAGAGAAAATTAAAAACTAGAATTAGTGAGCATAAAAACCAGATTAATAGAAATTCCAATGTTATGTCTGTTGTCACTGAACATCGCTTAGAGAATAATCATGATTTTATTTGGAATGATGTGAAAATATTAGACACTGAAAAATTTTTTTACAAGAGATCTATTTCTGAAATGCTCCACATTCAATTACAAGACAATCCAATTAATGTAAAGTCAGATACTGATAAGCTTAAACCTTATTTCTTTTTCTTAGATCTGTTCAAATCAAAAAGATAGTTCGTTACTTTAACATATGTTCAAATAAATATTTGTCTCTTGTAGGTTATTGACATCACATGCCTTGAGTTGTTTTGTTGGTGAGGAGTTTTGTATATATTTGTACCACGTAAGGATTACGCGCCAGTACACAGTATCTCTTAATCATATTTTCTCACACAATTTTCCAACTTTGTCATGGATGCTGTTTGCTCGCGTGTTCTCTAATTAAAGTACGTATAATTTTTTATATTTTTTATATTTTTTGTAATGTTTTTATCCATTCAAGTATGATTTTCGCTCATCTCGATTAATTTATTGTCAGATTACATTTATACACTGAAGAAGGTCTAAACCTGTGACCGAAACGTCTGTTTATTTAATAAAGACTGTATCTCATACACGACCAACTTGTATTTACTGCTCGTATCGGCTTTTTAACTCAATTTATGAATATGTTTTTATTTTTAAAACCGACTTTTTTCTTATTAAAAGAAAAGTTGTACTTGACAGTTTTGCATTCGCGTTTTACTTTAACATACAACAATTTTAAGAGATATTTTGTGTTATGTTCAACTCTTGTTGGAAAAAAAGTTTAAAACACTTTCCCAAGCACTCAATCAAGTATTATCTTTTCTCGAGATATAGATATTACTATAGGATAAAAGAAATTTTAATTTGAGAAATAAAAAATTTATTACAAAATATTCTTTCTTCAAATCCTACAAATATAATGTGTATTTATGAAATGTGTATTATAAAAATTATGTTTCTAATATATTGCCAAGAAAAAATTAAATTGTAGATAAAATTCAAAATTATCTTAAAAATAATATGTAAATATATTTACTTTCTATTTTTCTTGAGAAGTTTCAGAAAATCTACTCAAAAACAAATCTATATGCTACACTGACAGCTCTCAGAACTGTCAGTGAACCATTCGACAGTTAGTTTTATAGCAAATAGACTAAGAGAAGCTGTTTTAGAGTGCGTTGGCACGATGAGCCGCGAAATCTAAATATATCACGCACTGGCTATGTGTGCGTACGCACGTATGCTGCCACGTTTAAAATATGCGGTGCAATAGTACTAATGCAATAACAACAACAAATACACACATACATACAAGCAAGCACGAATTAAATTTTACTGTTTATTTTTAAAAAGATAAACAAACTAGGTTTGTTCAATGCAAAATACCATTTGCCAGTTGCATTTGCTATTAAAACTATTCCTTTAGATTAATCGCGAAATGCTGCTGCTGTACGTCACTATTGCATTTATGCCAAATATTCTGGGATTTCCGAGAAGAATTCTTATCGGTAAGCCCGTCTCGCATTTCGCAAAAGATCGAATATTGTATAACAGCGAAATATCGATAACAATTCAACGTGAATAAAATTGAACGATCGATAGGAGGTCTGTTCGACAGCGATGAAGTGATACAGCAAGCATTTGAGATATCTATAGAAGCAATCAACAAAAATATCGCCGGTTCCAAGCACGCAACGAGCGTATTGCTGATTCCTAAAAGCGAAAAAATCAGCAAGAATTCTTTCCAGGTGTCACAGATAGGTATGTATGTACAGTTTACTAACTAAGTGAGATACTTCAACGATTTATCATGATTTGCTTGCAATTAATGCATATGAGAAACATGTTGCGAGACTATATGTTTTGTAAAATTTTGTACGTTGCGTGCAGCGTGCGAATTGGTAAGCAACGGAATAGCCGGGATATTCGGTCCGCAAAACAAATTGACAGCAATCCACGTTCAAAGTATGTGCGACACTTTGGACATACCCTATATTGCTGCCAGATGGGATTCCGAGCCGAAACGTGGAAAGATTATAAATCTATATCCGTATCCCGAGGCGCTTTCCACGGTACTTATTTATATTTCTTAAAATGAAACAATTGTTGACCCTACAACGCGATCAATAATTCGAGCCACGCAATTAATCTACTTGGTCAAAATTTTTGCTACTTTTAAAAAGTTCTGAGCGGAATTCGAAGTTTAATTGATTTTTGCAATTGATTAGGTTTTTCATGATTTGATACAAGAGTACAAATGGAAAGAATACGCGATATTGTATGACAACACTGACGCTTTAATTCGCATGAATCGCCTGCTCAAGTTACCAAATGTGACTACTATTTCCGTGATGGTGTTTCATTTAGGTGGTGGACCGAATTTTAGGTATGCACGCACGAATCATATAAATAGGTCGTACCTCGAGTGGGTTTGCGTGCACGAGCGACGTTTGTCAAACAAAGTTATTACACATTCGTGCCGTTTATTTAGTCCTGTCGTAAATGTCGAAAAAGGTCACGATAATTTATAACACCACGACAGTCTCTCGGCGCAAAATAAACGTCACTCTTGCACTCTAGCGTGCGAAAACTTTCGCTAAAGATACAAATAATCCAGAAATTAAAAGACGGAGTTACAGGCACGCCATGAAAGAAGTCAAGCACTACGGATACAGAAATATTATAATCGATTGTTCATACGATAATCTTGCTTCTGTTCTGGAACAAGCGCTACAAGTCGGATTAATGTCAGAAAAACATAAAGTAATCGTTGCTTCTTTGGTAAGATTGAACTTCCTAATATAATTTCGAACACTTCTTTTATTACAAAACATTTATTACAAACATTACATATTTTACAATAAAAATATATTACCTATATACTTCTAGCGTGCAGAATCTGTTCTAAATTTAATTTATTTGATTTATTCTATTACATTTGTATGTACACATTTGTATAATATATTTAGGACCTACAGACTCTAGATTTAGAAGCGTACAAATATTCCGGAGTAGATATAACCGGTGTACGATTAGTCGATCCGGAAAGTCCGATCGTTCGGCATATCTTGAAGTCTCTTAATTGGAAGTTGGCAAACGGTTCTCATTTAAAGACGGAAGCGGCGCTCGCTTACGACGCAGTGCAACTTTTCGCAAGCGGTTATGCACGGTTGCGCGACAGCGTCAAGGGAAACCTTAAGAAACTATTTTGCAACCGTACGGAAACTTGGAGACACGGCTACAGTTTGAGTAATTACATACGAAACGTACGTGCGTTTATTTGCATCAGTGTACTTGGATATATATACGTTTAAATTATACTCAAATTGTGTGTGTGTGTACACAACTTTAATGGAACAACTTTACTGACATGTGGACGATAAAACATACAAACTTGTAATAATATATCACTATGTGATATATTATTTATCCTTAGGAACAAATATACGGATTGAGCGGCATGATAAAATTCGATACAGCTGGATTTCGGACTGAATTTCAAGTGGACATTTTAACTCTGGGAAAACAAGGGTTGGAAAAAATCGGAACGTGGAAAACCGATAACGGTATCGAATGGATATTGAAAAATAGAGTTCGTACAATGAAGGGTGTTGAAAAGAATTTAAGCAACAAACATTTTATTGTTCTGATATCGTTAGTACGTTCCAAATGTAACTAACTACAAGAATCGTATTAAAATATTTAGTTAATTAATAAACAAGCTAAGAACATGTTATTTATAGATTAAATATTTTTTCATTACTTAGTAAAGTGTAAGTTACTTTATAAAAATAAAATAAAAAACTGCGATCTCTCAATTTTAGACAAACCCATATGGAATGCTCACAGAATCATCATCGATAATGACTGGAAATGCTCGATATGAAGGCTTCGCCATTGATATAATTCACGAGATGAGCAAGATACTGGGATTTAATTATACCTTTGAAGTTCAGACAGACAATGTTTACGGAGAACTTAATCAAACAACCGGTCAATGGAACGGCATGCTGGGAAAAATAATAGCTCGTGTAAGTGCGGCTGAGGTATTTTTTTGCGTTTTTTTTTTGTTTTTTGTTTTTATTTTGCATTAAAATAAATGTTAGCACAATGAACTTGCAATCTAGCTTTGTTTCGCGAGTAGTGCTGCTACCTTGCATCGTGCTCACGATGTAAAATTACCGTCAAATCGTTCTTGTATATCGGTAAAGCAGGTGCCTCTTCATATATATATTTTCTGATACGTCGGTACAACCTAACAGTTTTTCGAGTATTTTGTTGATTAAAATCCGGCAGCGCTAATATAAAGAATTAACGTGTTACTAAATAATATTAAGCTTAATCTAATAAATTAATTTAATAAATTAATCTTTCACAAAACTTAAAATTTTATTTATTTTTATATACGCAATATAGCTTACACAGTTGATTATATAAACTATATGGATTTGATTATATAATTACCAGAAATATCTTCATCACTTTTCCATGGTTGTATAAACAACGATTCAAATTCGACAATTTTGTCATAAAAATAGCTATTTAAATATAAACAAAAGAATCTTTTCTTTATTTGATTTTAAAGGAAGCAGATTTAGCGATTACGGATCTGACAATCACAGCACAAAGAGGTAACGCAGTGGATTTTACGAGCCCGTTTATGAATCTAGGTAAAATGTACTGCACACACGCACACATTATTGCCGCGATACTGTATATAGTAAACATACATTCGTATCATTTTAGAACTTACTTGAATCAAACAATATTTCAGGAATAAGCGTTCTTTACAGAAAACCAACGATCGCACCACCTAGCTTGTTGTCCTTCTTAGGGCCGTTTTCGAATGACGTTTGGACATATCTGATCGCAGCGTACATCGTCGTGTCGATATTATTATTCGTGATAGGAAAACTTTGTCCTATAGAATGGACAAACCCATATCCTTGTATCAAAGAGCCGGAAGTATTAGAAACACCCTTCACCGTGATGGACACTCCGTTCTTCGTGATTGGTGCCTTACTGAAGGGTTCTACAGAATTTGCACCCGTGTGAGTTGATCTTCTCGCTTCGTAAAACTTGTAGGGAGTGGTTTGAAGATATTTATCTTGCATGAAATCACACGCAGCAACGAAGTTTCGTATCGCTGCAAAGCAATTTGCTTGCACACGCGTTTATATACTAGCTATGGTTGTGGAATAAAGCTACTATAGATAATTTGTATTTTAGCGGAACTTCAACGAGAACTCTGACTGTTGTATGGTGGTTTTTCAATCTTATCATCGGATCAACTTACATCGCCAATTTAGCAGCCGCGTTATCTACGAAATCCGTTGTCTGGCCTTTCAAAGTGGCGGAAGAATTGGCCTATCAAACAAAAATCAAATACGGCGCAAAAAAGAAAGGCTCGACGCTCTCGTTTTTTCAAGTGAGTAACATAATCCGAAAGTGAGAGAAAATTAATAAAAGAGAAGATAGCCGACGTCTATTGATTATGATAGCGCGTATCTACTAGCTGGCGATGAAATTTCGCGTTACTCTATTTATGGAAGCGCGTAGGCGGTCAGAACGCGGTCGATCTTGTTTTGCAGGGTTCCACGTATAAACCGTACGAGATTATGTATAATTATATGAAGGATCATGCTGACGAGGTGCTCATAGAAAAGAACGAGGAAGGTGTGTGGAAGGTGCAACACGAAAATTACGCGTATTTCATGGAGTCCACGTCAATCGAGTACATCACGCAGAGAAAGTGTAATTTAACCCAGATCGGTGGACTTTTGGATTCTAAGAGTTACGGGATAGCAATGAGAAAAGGTCGGTAAAAATTCTTTAGTTTGCAATATAGCAATAATTGAAACTAAAGTATTTCTGTCGCCATCCACAAATGTTTCCTGATATTTAATAAATGTTGCGTATACTTTTTTATTATCATTATTGTTTGAAAGATCTAAAAAAAAAAAATGTTTAAAATCAATCTTAGAGTATTTAAATAAAATCTTTCCGTAACGCAGACGCTCCCTATCGCGTAGATCTCAGCGGCGCTGTACTAAAACTGAAGGAAATCGGTATCATCAATAAATTGCAGACTAAATGGTGGAAGGAAAAGCGAACAGAAGAAACATGCGAAGTAATTGTTATTTAATTTTGATTAAAACTTTTAGGGTTTGAGTTGCATGCTGATAGTTATTACCGATGCTTGGTAAAGTGATATACCATTAAAAATTAAATGTTTATAGGATAAAGTAACAGTTCAAGTTCAACCATTGAATTTCGAAGATGTTAGCGGAGTGTTTTTAATTATGATAAGCGGCGTTATGTTGTCCTGGCTTGTCGCGGGATGGTCGTTTCTATGGAATATTCGAAATCTTGCAATCGATAATAACGTAATATTTAATAATAAACATAAAATATGCCATATTCATATATTAACAACGTTCTAAAGTCATAGACATCGCTGTGTTTTTGCATCACAGGTGACCTACAAAAAACAAATTATAGAAGAAATGAAGTTTTTGGCCAAATGTAGCAGCACAAAGGTTATCAAGAGGAGGAAGAACTCCGTCGAAACCATCAATAGCAGCAACACGAATTAAATAATAAATTACGTCATCTTTTAGCAAAAAATTTATTTATTCATGCTTAGTAGACACAGAAGTGAAAAAAATAAGACAGAAAAAAAATTATTTTTATCGCAGCATTATTTGCAGCATAATAGTTGTCTTTAATGAAATAGAGGATAAATTATCCCACATTCTATCCCCCGTAACGATGTACCCAACATTATCTTATAGAGTAGACGTCTGAGAGACCACGGAAAAATGTTAATAAAGAACTGCAATATCGTGCATCAGCTTGATTATACTAACAAAAGTTACACTGAGACGATGAACGTTTAGTCCTCGGACGTTAAACTGAACTCTCGGGCGTCGTAAGATCGTTAAGGATCATGGCTTATCTCGACCACTTTGTCGTAAACACATCCGCGTATATATCCATGAGTATAGTCATGGGTGCGTGATCGAAGCAACAAAGAAGATCTAGCGGGGAGATACGCGCAGCGGCGCGTAACCGCTAGCTGTTCCTCACGAGCGAAGGAGAGAATCTGTTCCGCGGCCGCTGAACGATCAAAGTCGCGCGCGCGCACTCTTACCTTCGCGTCGGGAATTCGCCTTCGGTTTACGAGCCACGTTTCGACCGATGACACTGACCCTCAGGAATCTCCGAGCGCTACGTTCGCAACAGCAAGCGCATCTCTTTGCAAGAAGGTGCGTCCCCGTCGGCTGCCTTATTCAAAGGCGACGTCCAGCCAGCCGTGGAAGAAACTCTGTGCGGGTGGGGAAATCGCCGCGCTCGTAAGGTAGTATTAAAAGGCCATTAAATGGCTCGACATGACGTACGGCTTTGTGCACGACGCCGAGAAGAATTGCCGGCGAATGAAAGTTCCCTTCCATCGTATCTATCTATACTCGCCTCATCCTATATCAATAAAGAAAGTATCGAGATACGCGTTTGCGGGTTTGTTCTCTCTTGCACTTTGCCTGTCCTGTTCTGTCTTTCTGATCAGGGAAACCTGATGGCGCAAAATTTACGATCATCATGTGTGAGGACCGGAAACGCTTAATGGCTGCGGTAGTCTACTTTTCTTGGTCCACTTCGCCGTGAGACACTAAAGATTAAGGAAACCGGTACTGCGAAATTTACGATCGGCGCGTGCACGTTGCATATTCACTGCAAAATTCGTAACAACCGTTAACTTCTGCCGAATAGGTATCACGTTTGGGATATCACGTACGCACTGTAACTTCTTGCATTGCATGAAAAGATTATTGCATGAAATGAATTCAAATTCCTTTGTAAAATAACATCACGAAAACGAGTTGAGTGGAAACAAATCTTCGCGATTGTTACATCCATATATCTCACAAGCTTGAATAAACACAATTTAACTTTGATTAAAATTTAATACGAAACGTGAGCGAGAGTAACTGAATATACTGTTCTATTTATATTTCTCAACAATGTCTCACTATTAAATGTCATTTGTACGACTGTCTCGACGTGTTGAGGACTTAACGCTGAAATGCTCAACGAAACGCGAGGGTCTGCCGAGGTCGTTAATCGTCATTATCGCGATGACAAAGCGAAATTAGTGAGTGCGCCTAGTACGGCCCAGGAAAATTAGGGAAGATTAATGTGCGTTTTCCATTACCCGCATTCCGCCGTGCGTCTACGACGGTGACAGAATGTGCGATACGAGGTGCAAATATCCACTTTGCGTGCGCGTAAAATCTTAATGTCCGCGCGCGCAGATCTACTTTTAATGCATCGTCTCTCTCGTCTAGTTCGGACTCGCTTGCACTGACGACGGGAGATCATGGATGTATCGAGATTATCCAGTTCTTTATTACGTTCGTAATTTAGATCGCTTAGCTTTTTCATCTCATTGAGTGCGGTCGTCATTCTTGCTTGACGTTTTTTTTTTGGAATCCCGTTTGATCACTCGTAGTTTCGTTTGAAAAATATTTACTTCATTTTGTACCGTGCTAAGGTCCACATCAAATATTCGTATTTATACAATTGTATTTATAAATAATTCCAACGTGCATAATTTTAATCTACATACGGATTACTAACTGTAAAATCGAGAAAAATAAAAAACAGAAATTATTAAATTAATATTTACTTAGAGCATTGTCTTTTTTGTGTTAAATTCAACTAGTGTTTCTCTTCTACGTAATAATAACTGCGTAAAATTTTATAATAGGAAGAGATTTTCAACTCTTTTAATTACAATTTAATTCTGTTATAACGAGACGCTTGTGTTGTTTAAAGCAACAAATTAGACAAGGATATTAGCATGAAAATTGCTTACTCAACAAGCCGAGCAAATTTTCACTAGCACCTACGGCAAAAGACATTAAATCATATATAAAAGCAAGTTTTGATTAAAATGTTAAGCCTTCAAACTATTTAAGAATAAATATATAAAAATATGATTTGCGCGAACACAATGAAACATATATTTTATTACGTTTTCCACGAAAACTATTTCTTGTTTTTCTCGCTACTGTAATATTCCAATGAAAAACTTTCAGCAGCATTCATCACTCGAACATAATTTCGCACGTTCTTGCCCGGCGGTGTCGAATTGCTCGCGGCATCGTGTGCGATCGCCAAGAATGGATAAGGTAATTACTCATGCAAGCGATCTTGACGATGATGCGTGTGTTTCGTTCATATATCCGATTAAGGAGTCACTGCGAGCCCTGACCGCGGGCAACACATTCCGCGTTCTAACAAGTCGGAGCAGAAAAAGAACTATATAGGTAAAAAAAGAAGAGAAGCCCCGAAGAAGAGTTAACTCCTCTCTTGCTACAAGAAAGTCGACTTCGAGAAGTCGAGGTCGCTCGTTTATTAGAAACGGAACTTACGAGCCCGGAGAAATTAGCTTTCGTATATAATCTCGTTGCACGAGCTGAGCGAACGAGAGGAACGCGCGACTCGGTCGAGTTGATAAATATGACGCTAATGACTATTATCGCTTTAGAGCTGCAATCATCGTGCAATCCTCGTTTGGTGAGCGCATATATGTCGAGTAATATGACACGATCTACGAAATACACCGCGCGTACACTTATCACTTAACATAAGATAAGCTTGACAATACTCACAAAAAGAAATCACTTAATAAATAGAGAACACCTATCTTCTCCGTGCGGGAGAGAGATATTTACGATCTCTCTATGAGCACTTGTGAGCGCAATTTAAATTCAACAACGACAGAAAACAAATATTTCGGACAAATTGCAACATCAGAAATTTATATATATTTGTAGTTACCGGATTTTTTTTTGTGTGTATTCTTGAGAATCGTTATTTATTTCATTGTTGCTAACAATGGCTATCCCTTATTTCTCCGACGATAAATTCGCGTCGCATCGTGAAAGTCACACGTGCGCGCATTTGATGCTATCTCGAAAGAAATAAATTCTGGACGGAATTTTTAGTATATTCTTCTTCTGTGCTTTTCTCCACACGTTTGTGGATAAGTTAAGATACTCGGATATATCTTGTTTATCGTGATATCGCGTGTGCACGCACAAACATACGAGAGAGACCAAATTTTTTTTCTACTACAAAGTGGAATTCGTAAGAGGAGAAATCGTAATTGCTTGTGCAAAAATTATATACAGACGGTGTAACTCAAACGGCGGTAATCGGTCAAGTAAAATGTAAATTTGAACCGCGCCAACAGACCGGTCTCGAAGGGATAGCAAAAAACTATCTACAAGAATGAAAGAAGATTAAGTGTCACAACGAACAATGCGACGCGCGTCGCGAAACTGCGAGTCTGTTCCACACCGTTGTCACAGACGTGTCTCAGTTTGCAGTTGAATAAATCGATCGCGACTTGAGACAATGTTGAAAATACCCATGTAGGAATTGCCGACAGACTTCCAGTAATACTACTAGGCCAACAATGGCCCAACCTTTATAGCCGATACTCGATATTGACAATTGGTCCAGTATTGTCTCATTTTTGTATTTTATAACAGCCCAATATTGGCCCGTTTGTTCACCAGTGTTCGGCATTCATATTGGGCCAGTATTGGCAAGAAGACAGGACCAATATCGGGCCAGTA